GCACAGAAAACAATAATGTGCTAGATGGACCACTGGTCTGATTAAGGCAACTTCCTATGTTATTAAGTACACACAGTAACTGGGTGATATAACTTCAGGTCCAGTTCTTTCAATTGTGTTTCAGCCAAGAAGTTGATAACATTTTAATACTGTGTTTATAAATGAAGTAATTCATGGAATGGTGATAGCAATGAATCTATTAAGCTAAGGAGACAGTAGGAACTTGCACTCTGCTCCTGCTGTACCAATTGCTTGTCGAGTGGTTGGCAAGAATTAAAATTGTGCTGTCAGAGACTACATTTCGCATGATTACACACCTTTAAAGTTGATCAGGAAGAAAATAAATTCTGATACATGGCAGGAATTGAAAAGAATAATCTCAGGCAGTGAGAATCTGTGAGCCATTTTGAGGGCTTGTTTTCCAATGTGTTGGTTCTTTCTGTTAGGATATTTCCGTTCCACCTTAAAAGGGAGCAGGCTTTGTGAGTCAGAGTCTGCGTATTTCCTGTTTCCACAGGATGTTTCTGTTGTGTCTTTTGTTTTCTCTCTCTCTGTGTCTGGAGACACTGAAGCAGGCAGTCATGTTTTTTTGTTCTGATCAACGTTGAATAAAACTTGTAAATAATGCTCTCCTGAGTGCGACTTTTGCTGTGCATTATCTGCTGATAGAGTGTGCATGAGCTCTGGAATGTGGCAAGCTATTTCTGGAAACTCGTGTCGCTAATTGCTGATACTGTATCTACGGGAGATCAATGGATCGTCCGGCAGCCGGCTTGGGGGCCATGATGGACTTTGTCTCCCTGGCAGTATCCCAACACTTTCAACACTTGATCTGGAGCAGATAAGGCAGCACTGCTAAACCCCCCTTACTCCACTACACATAATATCCATCTCTCTTGTTGGGGAAATCTGTATTATTTTTTCCCACCCCCAACCTTACCATACTCCATTCTGTTCCACTTGTTCTGCTGTTTCATAACCCAGAAGTGTTTACAAAGATTTTTCACTTTTATTCTTAAACTGGTATTCTGTCTATTGCCATTCAAGCCAGTCTTGCTTTTTTTTGTCTTCACTGCCTGAAGAGAATAGTTGATCCATGTCCCTTTCTGTATGAACAGACTGTTCTCCTGTCTCCACTAAACAGTCTTTGCTCCCCATTGAACAAGAGCCTGGTTTCCTTCTTAGCCAAACCTGCAAGCAGTCTTTCAAGTTTGTTATTTATCTTTGATACTCTGATGAGAAAGAGAAGAAACAAAAGAATTCTTAGGATGGCATCTTTTGTTTTTCCATCTCTACATATTAACAGAATATTCAATGAACTCATTTAACATTTCTCAGTGATCTATAAATAATCCTTTGTCTTTTTAAAGAACATCTAAGGGAAGAAAAGTGACTACATAAAAATTGGTTTTTTTAAATTCACTAGCTCTATTCCCTGTGTGCATCCAACCACATCTATGCACTTTATTAAAACAATTACAGCTCACATCTCTGCTTACTCATTAGCTGTGTAGACTAGGTATTGCAATGGAGTGAGATTTTATTTTCTAGCCTGGAGCGCATATTTAATTTAGAAAATTCTCAATTAAAACACATGAACAAGTATGTTTACCTTCATTCATCTATTAAAAACACTCCTCAAAAGTATGACAAAAAGTCTCGTGAGTCTATGCTATGGTTGGGGAACCTACAGCCCTCAAGATATGGTTGGACTACAACTCCCACCATCCCTGACCATTGTCCGTGCTGACTGGGGATCATGGAAGATGTAGTCCAAGAGCATCTGGACAGTCATAGGTTCCCCATTCCTGACCTATATCAACCAACTCTTTCCTTTTCAGGATTTTGCAACTCCTTGGGTTTACTGTCATACTGGCTGGACTTGACGAGAGCTGTATTCTAAAACATGAGGAAACCAGGTTGGGGAAGGTTGTTATAAGTTTCTGTCCTCTTGAGAACTAGAATACATTTGACTATATCACCTACAGGTGCAGATATCAGATCTGGGTGGGCTCAAAAGGCCTGACCACAAAGCTGCCAGTGTGAAGGAAACCTGGTCCAGACAAGGCCAATGAAAGAGGGCTAGACCCAAATCCCAGGCTTTCAAGCACACCATGGAGATGCCTATATTACTATTCGGCAGCAGCCCAGTAATTCTCCTCTCATTTGTGTAAGGGTAAGATTATAGCGTATTTTCCAGACTTGAGTCGCAAAAAAATTATAAAAGCATTTACAATGCCTTCTGCATACCAGTTAAAATAGAGAGAAACATTATCTAGCAGGAAATTATAGGAATTATAGGAACTAAAGGAATTATAAAGTGCTCTACCACTTGAGTAGAGATGACAAGGCATTTCTATAACGTAGAATGCAACAATGTCAATAGTGTTACACCTAGAAGGGAGATTCCCCCCCCCCCCATCAAGGCATAATTATGTGGGTCTTTTACTACCTATGCTGCATAATTAGATGCTTGTGAAATTCATCAGCTACTGAACTATTATGTTGTTGGGTGGGGGTAGCCAATGTGGTGCTCTCCAGGTGTTGTTGTGCAACTCCCAGCATGTCTGTCTATTAGCCATGCTGACGAGCTAATGGGACATCTGGAATGCACCATGTTGGCTACCCCTCTTGTATGATGAAGGGGGTTGGAATAGTGGTCCTTTCCAACTCTACAATTCTATGTATATTACTCTTCTTTCATGGATAAAAAAATAAGATGTTAGCAGCTCAAAGGTGAATTATCACACAGCTCCTCAAAAGAAATGGGGAACAGACAACATTAGTTCCAAGCAAGAAACTGCCCAGAGTGGCTAGAAGAACATGTCACATCTTTGTACATCCTCACCCACTCCAGGGAGCAGCGGAAGTTTTGACCAAGATGCTTCTGCCTTTCATATTAAAGAAATATATTTATGTCTATAGCTACGGGGTAACTGAACAAAGCTGCCAATGTTAAGCAAATGACACTGTGTCTTGAGAGGAACCCTTTCTGAGGAGCAGAATTGCAGATTAACATCTACTAAGATAACACTTGTTGCCACACCCCCAAATCCAAGGAAGTGTCTGAATGCCTCCACGTGTGCCTCTGGATTTGAGAGAGATAAAAGAGTTATTTTTACAATGAAGCTATTATCCTTTATTTCTGCAGTTGAAAACTACCACCACTTATTCTCTACCTAGGCTACATCAAACTTGGCATTTTAAAAGCTTGTTTTGTTTTTTAATCTCAGTGCTGTTTTGAATTTGTTTTAAGATGAATGCTTCTTTCACTCCCATCGAAGCTTGCATTCTGGTGCTCTTGCTGCATTTTCATTACATACCATCACTTATTAGGCCATTATAAACTGATTCAAGCAGAATGACTGCATATTTACTGTTCTGTGTTTTAGAAAGCTGCTTTTTTAAAATTCCTAATTGCACAGTTCAGAATGTCACTAGCACTCCACCTAGCTTCTGGCAGTTGCTCTGCTGCTGCATATACCACTGTCATAAGGCATTTTTGATCACTATTGTAACCTGATAACAGAGCTTCTTTTGTTCCTTTTCTCAGGTGTTAATGTCTTGTTGGTTTCAAATCTCAACCACCTTGCATTTGTTACATAAATCACATCCTAATGTAGATGTGATGCTTCACAGCATAAGTTGACCAGAATGCTTCTTTTTCGGAATGACCAGTTGAGATTGCTGAAAAGTGGGGAGGGGAAAATGAATACATTTCTTTGGCCCCTTAACAACTAGCCAATGCATTGAGGCATGAGATAGATATGCAGCAGCCTACCTCTTAAGCCCATCTGAAGCTCATCATCTTATGGGCCTCACATATCCAGTTAAACCAACTCTTGCTTAGAAAGCTCATATCACAACCAAACCAAGCCAGTCCTAAAAATTCCAGAGGACCCTATCTTTTTGTGGCAAACTGGCTGTTTTGGGGAAAGAAGAAGAGTGAGGCACGTGCCCTGTGCCTTTTGATGCTGCACTGAGAACAACCCAAATGCTTATGTGGGTTTCTGTAGGAATGTGCTTAAGGGTTTTAACAAATTATTTTCTGAATTTAAATTCAGAGTCTAATAATCTCTAGGCTACTTCAGCAGTACTCTGGGAGGACCCCATTACATTAGTGTCACTGAATAAGAAATGGAAGCACATAAAAAGGCCCTTCGAAGCCTATATTTGCTGCTGTAATGCGAAATGATGAGGGGAAATGATTTTAAAAGAGATCTATTATTACCCATTATGATGCCTAAATAAAAGAGCAAACGCCACTGGCATTACTGAGCAGAAAAGGAAATTAGAGAGGGTCACATTATTCTGCACATTCTAGCACTAATCCTCACCTGATGCCATAGAGTATGGGTAGGCAAACTAAGGCCCGGGGGCCAGATCCGGCCCACAGACGGTCTGGGAATCAGCATGTTTTTATATGAGTAGAATGTGTCAGTTTATTTAAAATGCATCTCTGGGTTATTTGTGGGGCATAGGAATTTGTACATTCCCCCCCAAAAAAATATATAGTCCGGGCCCCCACAAGGTCTGAGGGACAGTGGACCAGCACCCTGCTGAAAAGGTTTGCTGACCCCTGCCGTAGAGCTCTGCTGAATCTCTCTCTGAATATGTCTTGCTTTGTTACCACTTATCTTCCTTCCATTTGAGACTAGATATGTCACTGCTGTACCTGGTAGTTACAGGTATGGGAAGAATGTACAAAAACACAGAAAGCTACTTAATACTGACTTAAGACCATTGGGTCCATGTAGCTCAGTACTGTTGATATTGGCGAGCAGCAGCTCTCCAACAGCTTAAGGGAGGAATCTTTTTTCTTTCTCTTGCCTACCTGAACATGCCAGGTGCTGTATTATTAAGCTATAATCAATACCAGGGAAGGTCCTAGAACAGTCAGTCTGTGAGCATTTAGAAAAGCATGCTGTGATAGCTAAGACCCAGCATGGATTTCTCAAAACAAAGTCATGCCAGACCAATCTGATTTCTTTTTTTTTTTTGATGAAATTACAAACTTGGTGGATCAGGGAAATGCTGTGGACATACTGTATCTTGATTTCCGTAAGGCTTTTGACAAAGTCCCCCACAATATTCCCACGAGAAAGCAGGTAAAATGTGGGTTGAACGAGGTAACTGTTAGGTGGATTTGTATCTGATTGGCTGACCGAACCCAAAGAGTACTCATGAATGGCTCCACATCATCCTGGAAAAAAGTGACTAGTGGGGTGCCACAGGGTTCTGTCCTGGGGCTGTTGTTGCTCAATGCCTTCATAAATTACTTGGATGAAGAAACTGAGGGGATGGACTAGATGACTCTTGGCTCCCTTCCAACTCTAAGATTCTGTGGTTCTATGAAGGTACAATGAGCCCACTGAGCTGCAAAGCATGAACACAAGAGCATGAGGGCATACCAGGGTTGCTTCTTAAAATGCTACGGGAGAACAAAAAAATAGCTGGTCTGGAAATGGAGACCAGCAAAAGACAAAAGAGAACTGAGAGCATAAGACACAGCTGCAGGAAAGAGATAAAGCTAACTACAAAGCAGAGTTGAATTAACACTGCCAAATAGGTCTAAAGGGGGGATTCAACAACTCTATTAGGTAACAAAAGGTCAGTTATTAAGGAAGGGTGCAGAAGTGTTAGTTTCAAAAAGCCTTAGCTCTTGAACGCTGGGAGTAGGGGGCGGGGAGAGGACTTGATCATACAGGGCACTTCTTAAATTCATAAGAATCCCTTACAAATTGTATTCCATATATGCTTGTAAACATAAACCCTCCAAACTGTAACAATTTTAGATAGTAAACTTGTGCAGCAAGCAAAGTTACATTGTAGGGCAGCTACTCTCTGATCTTTTTAGAAGTTTTGGGTCTTTAAAAGGCTTGGATCTTTTAGAAGTCTTCGGGTGCAGTCTTTTGAATTCCAAAAGGCAAAGCAAATGCAACCTAACCTAAAAGAGAATTATTCTAAAACTGAGAAAAACCACACAGAACGAAAACTGAGAAAAACCACACAGAATATACAAAACAGGCATGTTAATACTTTTCTAACTAAGCATGCAACCAACTGTTTACACAGAGAGCTTTAATTATGTAGATTTAATACCTGGATGTTTAAAGGGAGCTAGGTTATTCACAGCTATTGCTCTCTTACCATCACTCCAACTTTGCCTGTTCTGTGGGTCAGACTTCAGTCAGGTCATGTGACCAAATGAGGAATGATAGCTGGGAGGAGCGCAGAAAAAAGAAACATCTACCCTAGCTGCAACAAGACATATCTCTCCCATATCAGTCTTTACAGTCACAGCAGGTGCTGTAACTCTCCGACTGTTTGACTGTGCCCCTGGAAAGTGCACTCTTCCATTTTCTCCCAAGATAGATGGATGCCAACAACTAATCCTTTCTAGCCATTTACCTGGGGCCTGCCTACCACGTTTGGATCTTTTTCTAAAAATTGACATTATGTCAGTGAACCTTTTTATCCATAGGTACGGAATCTGATATTAGCGACAACCTAAAACATTTTTTTCTCTTAAGAAGATCAGCAATTTCACACTTGATTTAAGAACTCTTGGGTGTATGCCATCCAGATCCAATGACATAGATTTTTAATCTGTCAATTAGCCTTAGAATTTCATTCCTTGTCACCTCTTTTCAACTTGGTGCTTCAAATGCTCTCCATCAAAATACTTGTTCAGGCGGAGTATCTGTTCAACATCTTCCATGGTAAAGACTGATTGTAATAATTCTGCAACCTTCCTATCCTCCTTCAGAAATCCGTCCACACTGTTGTTGTCTAACAGTCTTGTTTAAACAAGACAGAACTTTCCACAAAAGATTCAATATGCATCTGTAATTAGCGCATACTAGTCTCTGAGAAACAGTTACCAGCTAAACAGGAAAATAGATGTTTGACACCTGAGGCACTGTAAAATGGCCTGAGCATCTCAATTAAATCCATAATAAGCCTCAAGCCACTTATTAGGAATTGTACAATAAATGGCTACAATACTAAACCAAACAGTGCAATGGATTTTTGAATCAGCCGTACAATTCATGGTAGATATTGCATTGCAATGAAAATTAACCTTTGTATTTTCTCATTTCCTCTTAAAACATTGAAGAAACAGCCCCAGGCCCCTGAGGGCTCCCCTCAGCTGTGTGCAACTAGGCTGAGGGCTGCGGGTCCTCACCTGTGCTCTACTCAAACATGCCAGGAGACATTTGGACAAAACTCTGTTCCTCCCCACCTTGCCTGAAATATTGTGAGAGCTCACTTAACTGATTTCTCTGTAAGTCATTGTTCTTTCCCCAACAAAATCGTTTTATCTATTAGCTGATCATGGATTGACCCTGATCTATTGGTCAGGCTCTTCACTAATGGTCGCTTCAAAATATAACGGGAACTAGACCAGAAGAAATGAACATAGCCGCAAAATGAGAAAAGGGAGAACCTAATAAACACACTATGAGATGGGGGTCACAAATACCAAAGAAAATAACAGGTAACCTATTACTTGGGCTAGAATCTCATTTCAGAAAATTCCAGAACATTTTTAAAGTAATCTGACCATAATCAGCAATCAAATCAAAGAGTTAGTTGAAAACGACACGGAGGTAGCAAACAGATCATCTCTCTGCAGATAGTACTGAGAAACAGGAGGGCAGACTATCCTCTGTAGAATCCCAGGTCACACTGTCTGAGAAATAACTCAGCTTGGAGAATCATAGGCATCTCAACAATCTTATATTATTAGCCTTTCAGATGTGCTGAGAGAAAACTCTCATCCTCTTCTTCGAAAAATGGATGCCTAAGATCCAGGGACCAAAATCTGAAAATGAGCCATGAAAGGAAAATATGCACATAGAATTGATAGTCTAGTCACTTATCCAGACCAAGGTGCTGACCCACCAGAGGTTTTTAACTGCAGAACAACAGAGCTTAGTTTTCAGAGGGGTAGCTATGTTCATCTATTGCAGCAAAAAACAACAAAGGCCACACTTGGTTTATTAAATGAGCAACATGATAGTGCTTGTAGCCTTTTCCTCCCCTCACTGCATGAGCAGATAAACCAGGAATGAATAGCTTCATATGATGTCTGAACCAAGGATTCTGGTTTGTTGTTGCCAAACAAGCCAGGACTCTAACCCTTAAACTGGAGTTTGTGGTTGACTTACGAATTCTGGCTTGCTTGGGAGCAACAAACAAGGTTCAGACATAGCACAAAATAATCCATACCCAGTTTACACAAAGGGAGGAATGAATGGACTGCATGCACCAATATGCTGCTTTTTCACATTTAGGTTTATTAAGGCTTAATTCATAGCTTATAGCAGGGATGGGGAACTTGTATTCCAAAAACAGTTAGAAAGCCACAAGTCGCATCAGTTCCAACCAGCATGATCAATGGTCAGGGATGATAGTTGTAGTCCAATAGCATCTGGAGGGTTATAGTTTCCTCACTCTTGACTTATAGTTATGTGCTAACATGCCCAAGAGTTTTTGGAACCTTAAAAATTAATGAATTTATTATGGAATACTTTTTTGGGCAAGAATCCACTTCATTAGATGCATGCAGCATTATATATGTCTACAAACACACATGATTGTTGAAGGGGTAAACTGTAATCAGTGAGGACAGAGGGAAATGAAATGCAAACAACATGAGTCTGTGACCATTATGTTAAAACTTACATGCATGTAAAATCATCATAGTGACCATTCACAAAGCAGTGTTGATAGTAGCGCAAATGTACCTGGCATTGGTAAACCAATTACAAAACTCAAAACAGGTAGCAGATGTAATATAGTCATACCTTGGTTTTCAAACAACTTAGTTCACGAACAACTCGAACGTCATAAACCCAGAAGTAGGTGTTCCGGTTTGCAAACTTTGCCTCGGAAGCCAAACATCTGGCGTGACTTTCGTGGCTTCCAATTGGCTGCAGGACCAAGGTGTGGAAGCCACACCTTGGTTTCCAAATGTTTTGGAAGTCAAACAGACTTTTGGAATGCATTCTTGTTTGAAAACCAAGGTACTACTGCATGACATAAATTAAATATGGAAACAATTGCCTGCTAATCTGTTAGTGTTGTTCTTTGACTGTTCAGTGGAAGTGTGAATATCTGATAGAGAGTCAGATACTACACTTGATGTTAGCAAGTGTAAAGGCCGAGAAGCCTTTACATACTCAGTTGCCAGATTCTGTACTGCCATGATGGTTATTTGTTGAAAGATGCTTTGCGCCACAAACTAGACCCAAAATGCAAGACCTGGGCTCCTTCACGCTCCCGCCCTTATAGTCACTTTTAACAGTTTGTCTTTGTTTCTATCTTTTTAACTTATGTATGATATAATCACCTTTTAACTACTAGTTTTTATCCCTTACCTGTTTTAAGTTCAGTTTATCTGTCTGATTCATTTTATGTTGGTCGGTTACCGAAATAAAGTTTGAGATTTTCATACAGCTCCTGAGAAACAGTTATGGAACTCCCTCTAGAAGAACCAATTGCAAGCCAATATGATCTATGCTAAATTCTCATCAAGACTTAGAGGAGTTGAATAATAAAAAAGAACTACATGGCTAATTAAATACTGTATCATATATATTTCAACACCAACATGGTTACTGAGGTTTGAAAATGTGGACATTTCTCTATTATCCTCTTTGTGGCTTGCTGCACTGTTCTGAGTAAGGCTAGGAAGATGGGATGCAAAGTCTATTCTAATTCTCTCAGGTTCAGGATAAAATAGCTTCTCCCCTCGCTTGGCTGGTATGTTCCAATCTACAGTACACCTAGCATAGAATGATAAAGTTGGAAAGAACCCTGATCTAGTCCAACACTCTGCAATGTGGGAATCTCAACTAAAATATCTATGACAGATAGACATCCATCCTCTGCTTAAAAACCTCCAAGGAAGGAGAGTCCACAACCTCCCATGGGAGTTCAATCCACTGTCAAACAGCTCTTACTGTCAGAATGTTTTTCTATATGTTTAGTCGGAATCTCCTTTCTTGTAACTTGAAACCACTGTTTCGGATCCAAGCTTCTGGAGCAGGAGAAAACAAGCTTGCTCCATCTTCTATGTGACAGCCCTTCAGATATTTGAAGATAGCTATAATATCTCCTCTCACTCTCCTCTTTTCCAATCTAAACTTACCAACTCCCTCAACCATTCCTCATATGACTTGGTTTCCAGGTGCCAGGTCATTTTGTTTGCCCTCCTCTACACACGTTCCAGCTTGTCAACATCCTTCTTAAATTGTGCCCAGAATTGGATACAGTATTCCAGGCGTGGTCTGACCAAGGCAGAAAAGAGTGGTACTATTACTTCCCTTGATGTTAACACTATACTTCTGTTGAAGGAGTCTAGAATAGCATTAACCTTTTTTGTTACTGCATCACACTGTTGACTCATGTTAAGCATGTTAAGACCCCTAGATCATTTTCACATGTACTACTAGCAAACCATGTGTCCCCCATCTTACATTTGTGAAGCCAGTTACTCCTGCCTAGCAAGTGAAGTATGGTGAATAGTGCTGCTTTATCAATTCAATGCAACAGCAATACCATCTCCATCAGTCTCCACGCTGCCTTTAGCAAACCAACACCCATGCACAGCATAGTAGTGCACTGTTGCTGTAATAAATTCTTGGTTCCCAAGCACAGCTATTTCCATTATCATACAGCTAAGGTAATAGCTATGATGAGAGGTCTTACATTACCAAACACCACAAGCAGTATTCAAGATTGCCATTTGTATTTGTTCATCATAAATGGGTCTTGAAGTTTTACTACAAAAAAGAAGGCACCAGAAAAAATATATATGAACAAACTGCGTGGGAATGGCTGTTTAAAATGCAACACCAAAGCTCAATCAATTCTTCCCAGCACCATTACTGAAAAGAGGAAAATAGAGTTCTAATAATTTGAGTTTTTCCATTCATGTTGTATTGATTTCAACAATGAAGCCCCCCCCCCCCCGAAATGAGGGTAATTTGTGTCTGTTTGCAGCAACAAGAAGACGGCTGAGACAGAAAGATAGGTTTATCAGGGTCACACTATGCCAACAACTATCAGTCACAAAGGCAAATTATAGGTAAAATATCAACTTAATTTTTATTAGATCAGAGATTTACAAATCTTTTTGTTAAAACTCTATCAGAGGTTTAGAATCTATGTGTAATTATTACAAGGAAGGAATGAGCAGAGAGGCAACAAAAGACAGGAAAGAGGATAGTGGGATTCAAAGCAGACCACGGAGCAATAAGGAAAGACAAGATCAGACTATAACAAGTTTTCCGTTCAGCAGAAAACAATATTTTGTGACTTTGTATTGTTAATTTTATATTTTACTAAGTGATGTCACTGTAGGGTCCATAATTACATCTTTCACGGTACTGGTTCTTCTGGATTATATTACAAACTGAGCATCATTTCGCTGAGAAGTTCTTTGGATTGAAATGTAAAATAAAATTTTACCTATGTGTGATCACCATTAAGACTGTCCAGGCAGGTTTGTAAAGTATTTGTGCCAAGGTATGTTCAAGTGAACTAAGCAAATTGCAAATAAATAATAAAGTGGAGGTTTTTTTTGCCGGGGGGGCGGGGTTAGTCCAAGTACTATTAATGATAGTTCAGGCAGACTTGCACAGAAGCCCTTAAGAACAATGCAGTTCCATATGGCATAGCTACCCAAGCCTGGGGAGCAAGGCAATCCCTGAACTTATTTGCTCAAAACTCCCTGGTCAATATGAAAATAATTAGAGCAGAGAGAAGGACTAGGGCAGGGGTCTTGCTGGTGTCTGCAGTTAAAGCTGGTGGCAGGGGTTTTATTAGTCACATAATGCTAGGGAAAAGTTCTTAAAGAGTATATAAAAAGAAAGAAGCCTAAACTCCAGCTCATTTGGATCGGGGAGCTTCCCTAAGCTTGGACAGACAAACTCAGGGATTGCACAGCACTCTTACCCCCGAAGCTTGTGAATTTTCCTTAACTGTGTCAATATCACACAGAATGCACAACTCTGTGCTGTGATCAGTATACAGTGGTACCTCGGGTTAAGTACTTAATTCGTTCCGGAGGTCCATTCTTAACATGAAACTGTTCTTAACCTGAAGCCACTTTAGCTAATGGGGCTGCTGCTGCGCTGCCGGAGCACGGTTTCTGTTCTCATCCTGAAGCAAAGTTCTTAACCCGAGGTACTATTTCTGGGTTAGCGGAGTCTGTAACCTGAAGCGAATGTAACCTGAAGCGTATGTAACCCGAGGTACCACTGTACAGAACTTTAAGGAAAAACAGATGAAAACGATAAGGCTTCAATGGACGTGTGCTGACATTATTATTTTGAGCTGGGATATAATTCTTTGAAAAATATGAACATTTTTCTGAGAATTCTTCAAGAAAGATGGTAAATTATTCCACTGATTCCACACTGCACCATAATACGTTTACTACTACTAATCTAAAATCAACAGCAAGGCATATATTAGGAATGTCACAAAATAATGAGTAAGCTTCTGAACAAATGACCATCCACACATCTCTCTTCATCCAGGCAAGCTGGAGGCATTATCATAGTTCAAGGACACATTCCAGTCAGGCAAAAACACTTGAGACTGGTAAACAGTATGGCCTGAGGAGAGTCTCAGGGGCCAGATAGAGAGCCCGGGCCTGGCCCACTTTCAGCCCCCAGGCTTGAGATCCCCCACATCAAATTTAATCACCCTTCCCCCATTCTTTCAAGAATTGTACAAGTAGGACAAAATAAATGGGAAGAGGGTCATTAGTGTTTTTTTTAAACATTCTCTGCACTGCTGAGTCTGCATGCAATCCAATATCCATTTACCTTGAAGTAAGCCCCACTGAAGCCAATAGGGTTTACTTCTGAGCTGACATTTTTAGTACTTCGCTGTTGAGCTCAAAAAACCTGTTCACTGTTAAACACACTCTGCTGGTGGTAGGTCAGTTTGTGTCAATTCTAACAGACGGTCTATAGTTGCAATCCACTGCCTAGAAGGATTGGCAAGGCAATATAATTTATTAATGATGCACTAAGCATCAATACAAGCTTTCTGTGAACAAAAACATTGGCTGATTTTGGCCTGGCCTAGAGAGGAAGACTCTGCAGATTCTCTTGAGAGGTGGAAGCAGTGCAATGCCCCAGGAACCAGCCTTGACAAACACATCATTCCTCTGTGTCTCCCATAGTTTAATTGACTTGCTCTCCCTGGCGTTAATCTCTGTTGTGCACGTATGTCCTCTACAAAAGCTATTTTGGTTTAGTCAAAGAACGGTTTCATTCGCAAATCCGAACTCTCTGTAAAAGCCTGAAGTCTAAGAATTCTAGTCTTTGGAGACCTTTTCTGTTAAAGTGCTGTGAATAATTTCTTTTGCTTTTTGCCATTGCCTGTTACAGTACCTCCTCCCTGAAGCACAAAACATTTCCCCCTTTTCATTTCTCACAGTATTTCTCTTCAGTTCACAGCAACACAGACATATGATGGGCTGGCTAAGTTGCAAGCTGTTATTCTTTTTCTGAGGAAAAGTCTATGGCTTCACGAGAAGGGCAAAACCTCAGGTAATCTATTCACAATGCAATGTGAGGGAAAGCAACATAATAATTCACAGCACTTTTAAGAGAAAATCTCTCTCTGAAGTTCAGAACTCCAGCTCAGGGCTTTAACAGTCATCTGCGATTTTAAGAGGCCCCAAATCCTTGACCCAACAAAAAAGAGCTTCTCTAAAAGAGCCAGCAGCAAAGCCTCGTTTGGAAATGACAATTTGCCTTGCCTCACAGTCAGTAGGAGCTGGTGCAAGCTGGGCTGCTAGAGCTTCCCTATCTGGTTATACTGAAAAACCTGAATGGAGGAAAGCAGTAAAAATTATTTGTGTGGCTGTCAGCCTGGCTACCTGGAGATATGGCTGTGTTTACATCATCCCACTTTGGCCGTAGTCCCCTCATGTTTTTCATGGCTATGGGTGTGGGTGTTGGTGTAACTGTTTACCAACTAGGATAGAAGTCCTAGTTGACTCTATCCCTAAATGTACTCAAGGCATGTGCCCAACTACAGGAAGCTCACTTTTGTCCTAATCTTGCTATCACGACTTTGACCTCAGTCATTCTGAGCTGCAAGCAAACACTTTCCAAGCTGTTTACTTTCCAGGGAAGTACAATAATACCTGCTTCAATTCAAAAGTTCTTTTGACAAAATGAAAAAAGGACTTCTGATTCTATATAGTCAATATCCTGAGGTTGATCACTTTAACTCATCTGATAACCACACAGCATCAAGCCTACTCTATTTATTAAAGACAGAGAATAACAGCTGGATGGGGCAAACGGGCCAAAGTTACATGTGTATACTTACTCTAAGGATGCAGTACCTTCTAATATCATGTAGAAAAGTGGGTATAGTTTATTCCACAGATTAACTTCTATATCTCTCTTGAATCAAATCATAGCCATATTTTCTACTATTAGATTTATCAGTTTATACAGACAATTGCTAATATTGAATACATAGGACCTCATCTTCTCTTTAATTAATGGTCTAACAAATGATAATGGACAAAATTCCAACAAGAAATCACTGATTTATCATCATAAAGTTTACACTGCATCTGTTTTGTGCCTGTAGAAAGGTTAAGATTCTCTCCAATTTCAGCAAACAAAACCTGTTGTAAATTGGTCTACCTTCTTTTTAAATTTATATTCAATTTTTTTGTTTTGAAGCACTTTAATATATTTGATAAACATATATATCCACCTGGATTCCTATGTCATCATTTTCATGACCCTTATTGTCCATTGGCTTCAATCTTGGATTTTCAGTAATCATGTTTGAGACTTTAATGCCGCATGCTTCAAAGAGGAGAAGTTGGTTTTGCTCTACTGAACAAGACTAAATATGTCATCAAGGGTAATAGACTCAAAATCCCTGGAACCTGCTAATTAAGTTGAGGATTTTTTACCCTGTTCCTGAATCCTCCTATCTATATCCAATTCAATACTTAATTAATATAGCTTTTACCTTTCGTTTATCTCTTGAATGCCTGGTTTTATATTGTCTAGCTACCCGTTTCTCTTAATATTCTTTTTGGCTAAGCATTCCAGATTGTGTCCTGGGATTATTCTTCGAGTATGCTAGCCTGCCACTGTGCCTTTTGCTGCCTGGCAATTATATAGAGGGTTTTTTTAGCAGACCAAGAAATTGTAAAAATCAGTTCAAATAAGTAAATGTGCCAGGTCTAGATATTCAGGCATTGTTATCTGTCTGGTTGTAAATAATGTGATAAAGTGGTGGTAGCTACTTGATATTAAGCACTACACACTGGGAAAGCATCTAGAGAAGAGGAGTAGTGAGTTTGATAGGAGAATCCCTGGCTCTGTAGTAATTGTAATCCAGCCCTGGTGATGGGGTTTGGCCTCTTATGATAAGGTGCCCACAAATGCTCTGTACTCCAGGTGAGACTGACATAGATTTATCACCTCTTATCTCTAAAATCCATGCTATCCCCTTATACATATCCCTCCTGCTATGGTAAACAATATAGCCGCCTCCTTCTCCTTACATGAATTTCCTGAAAAAATGCTACTGCCTAATGTGCTCACCTGCTTTGGTCCAGCTCCACCACTGCAGAGGCAATGTCCATATTTTGGCCTATATTGGATAGAACTCCTTCCATATGCGGATTCATTGCCTAACATTCACATCAGGGAATTCAGGATATACAGTATAAAGTAAAATTAACCCACTGTTTTTCTGGAATGAATGTTTGTTTAATTAGTGTTTGGGGATGACAATGAAACTTCTGGGGAGCACAGAAAGCAGTGTAGAGTGTGAAATAGATCCACTGCTGTTGTGACTAACTCTAGCAAGCAGCCCTGGATCCTTGCCCTCAGCCAGTCAGCTCATCAAGGAATATCCTAGTTAGCTAGGCAAGTACACTTATTATAGTAATAATGGCTTGTTTAGAAATATGACTTTCAAATATTTACATTTCCAGCTTTTTAATTTTCATTGTTTTGAATATTTCAAAATCTTAACTTCACACATTATAGGCAATCATATAATTGCATTTAGGACAAGTAATAATTACATACCATACATGCAAAACAGACATCTTTCAGCAATTCATCTCACAGCTGCGTCAAAAATTTTTATTTACAGAAACCAGACTACAATGTGGGCAGCAATTTTACAGGCCATGCACAATTTTCTTTAAAAGAAATATATTGTTTTTGAGAGAAATAGCAGCAGTAGAATATGCCCTTCTCTCCTCATTAACAAACTCAGCTAGATATTTTGCCAAGAAACCACACACTTTCAGACCATGCCCTTTTATAGCAAATGTTCAACTCTGAAATGACAGTTTCTCCTTGTAATAGCAAAGAAATTGAACACCACAAAAAACTGAAGCATCGCATATAGAGTAAATTGAAAATGTAGCCTTCCAAGTGCTTAATCGTTATTTTATTTGTTTGCTAACACCTTTCAAGAGCAAAAAAAGAAGAGCTATTATTGAGTGAATCACAGCAGCAGCATAAAACCATGGCTTATTCATCATGACATAAAGAAACACTGAACAAAATGCTAATGTTTTGTTTTCAGTTTGAACCCTAAGGACTGCTTCATGTTTGTTTGTACTCTAGATCCGATCCTCAAGTTCAGTACTTATGCAAACAGTGGTCAAAATAATGATCCAGGGATTATGAATGGTTCTCCCTCACAGATAAGGGTTTCACTTATTTTATTTACATTTGTATCTCACCTTTCTTCCACCACAGAAGTGGAAGGGCCTGTCATCCAGGTACTGAGCATATCCAGACCTACTTTGCTACAGTAAACTGGTGGCCTTGTGAACCTTCAGAATTTTTTTTTTGTTTGCAAACAGATATATGGTACTTGTGAAAAGTCTGCCACAGTATCAAACTCCATAATTTTGAACTCACACCTGGCCTTCTAAAACAAAGGGCTCATCCAGAATGCCTTTTGTGCTGTGTTTCTAGGCATGGGTCCAAGCTTCAAAGCACTGTAGGGTTTTTTTTGAGAGGGTTTTTTTTCCTTTTCTGTCCCAGCGCTTTCCGAGGAAAAGCCATGTTTTTCTGCTGAATCAGAACAAATGGCATTTGTGTTTTCAGTGTACTCCCATCTGCTCTAATTCAGTGGTAAAATGTGTCCTGTGAAAGCACTGGGACAAAAAAGAAAAAAGAAAAAAGCCCCACACAAATGTTTGGACATGGCGCTTTAAAGTGCGGATCTGTGCCTGGAAAGAACAGTGCAAAAGGAAGTCTGGATGAGCCCAAACACATAGACAATAGCTACAGAATGCAAACACTTAGCCAAAACTAGATCATGGTGATATCTACAACAGCACTTCTCAAAAGTTTTGAAGTGGAATCCACCTATAAACTTTCTCAACTTTCTAAAACCTGCTTGTAAACTAACACTGCTTTATTCGTTCCTGCTTTCCTCCAAACAGAATATGAAATCAGTATTGCATCAGTAAAGTCTGAACAAATATATGCATTTTGTCATTTCTCATATTAATATGCTAATAATGCTAATAATAAACAATATTTTGCTTATTTATGTATCTACTGTTGCGCAATAGGCAGAGCCCATCTCGGATGGTGATATTCTGTACTTCCCCTTCAAACATAAGCACATTGCCAAGGTCACCCTCACAACACTGGGAGGAATATGAGAAGTTTTATCCTGTTTTTACCAAAGCGATCAAAGACGTTTACAAATATAAAAACTAAATATATTGAACAATAAAATCAGACTAAAATACCAAAGGCAAAACACACAGCAGCACTAAAACAAGAATGAAGTAGGGAGGGTTTAAAAAAATAATAATAGCAGAAAGCATACAAAGAAGGTTTTGAAAAGCTATCTAAAGGCAGGGAGAGAAGCTGCATGTTTGATCTCCCTGGGGAGAGAATCACATAACTGCAACAGCACCATCAATAAGGCTCTGTTCCTATTATTCACCAGTCGGAATTTCCAATCACAAAATGCCAGAAAGCATGGCTTCTGGTGCTGATCTTAAGATTGAGACAGGTTTACATGATGACCATGTACATATGCAGTCTCACCTTGCCAGACTTGTTCTTGAGTCCCCAAAGGCCTTGATTTGGAAACATCAACAAAAGATGTACAAAATATTTTGAATTAATTTGGGGTCATTGTAAGGATAAAGGTGCCCAGAGGTTGCGCTTAAATCTGAAAGAGATATGCACATTACAACATACAATGCCTGTGAAATAAAATACTATCTCTGACTGGAACTGTCAAGTTGATATTTGGAAAGATCTAACTGAATAACCCAAGTCTGATAGGTCTTTCACCATAAAGATGCAACTAAGCAAATGTACTTATGGTAGTCCCATCAAACTCACTGGGACTCGCGTGCACAGTTTTTGGCTATTTGACAGTGCCTGCCCAAGGCAGTTTACAAGCTTTCATTTGCATATAAAGTCCACCTGTAACATGCAGCTCAAAGTAAAATATTTCTGCAATAAGATCTACACTACCCCCCGGTGCTATCTTATTTGTTTGTATGTGGAAGCTATTTTTAAACTGTGTTCATGCTCCAGTCATACAGTCCGGTCACTGAATGCAGCAAGGGAATTTAATACAATTTTACATTGCTCTTTTTTTGCTGTCAAAGAAGAGGGGTTTCATACACAAGCCCTGCTTTTATGCTTCAGGAGAATAGGAATGTTCCACAGTGCAGGGTCTCAAAATCTCCATCAATAGGAAATGTGAGATTTAAGGCTGTATTTGCACAAAGGCACACAGTGTTAGGCAGTACTGTGGGTAGGCAGAAGTCATGCCTTACCCCTACTGTTCACAATTCTTTATGCATAGGAGTTTGCTGCTATTTTAAAATTTTATTTACAATATTTTCGAATTTTATTATTGCATTTATCACCTTTCCTCCAAGGAGCTCATGGTAGTATACATGGCTCTCCCTCTCCTGATTTTATCCTCACAACAACCCTGTGAGATAGGTTAGGTTGAGTGATGGTGCCTGACCCAATGAGCTTCATAGCTGAGTGGAGATTTAAACCCCGGTATCCCAGGTCCCTGTTCAGTACCCTTGCCACTACACTGCGCAGGCTTATAAACACAAGAACAATCTTGTTCACCAAAGTCATGTGAAGATATTACAGATTTCTCATCTGTTCAGCTTTCTAGATTGGAAGTAGTCCTATGGCTACTAGAAAGGCACAACCAACAAGGAGTGGAACAAGCCCTATTCTTGTAAATATATGAGTTTTGGCCCTGATGGATACTGTCTGTGTGGCTGCCCTATTTCTGGATTTTGAAGCATTTGCTGACTGATTGTTCTGGGAGAGGACACAGTTCCTACTGTTCATTTCGTATGTAAGCAAGATCAGCCTGTGTCTTACTGAGCTCTCAGACACATCTATCATCATTCTGCCCAACCCTAACCATAGTGGTGCTCAACTGTCCAGTTCTTACAAGTTCTCAAACAACAGAGTCTCCTTCAGAGCACTCAGTTTAGATAACAATTTACAAGCAAGGAATACCACAATTTATGAGAACATGGAAGAAAAGCATTTCTGAGCATAGCTCAAAACCAACATGAAGTGCCACTGTGAGGGCCAGAAATCTCACCTTATACTCATTTATTTCCTAAGGTAATACTAACCCTTTCAAAAAACCAAATGGAATCGTAAGAGGTGGAACATCTAAAACCATTCAGAGAACACGAATCAGTTTCTGCGATGAACAGTAGGAAATCACAGCCACTGAACACAAACCTGGCTGCCACAGCAAGCCAAATATTTTTGTCAACCTCCTAGGTGCTGTCCAAAAGCAGCTAGATGCTCACTTTGTATGTGGCAAGTGACTAAAACAAGCACAACTCTCCAGATTGGATATGCAGGCCATGGCAAGGGGAGGAGGAGAGTGCTGGAATCACTCTCTAGCTATAGACGCCCGTATTAGACACTGTGTAGGCAGGGAGGAAGCTTCTGCTGATGGAGGCTTCAGTACACATTTCCTCATTGTGCACCAACTGGCTGCTATGGCATCAAATGTCCTTGAAGTCTAAGCATCCTCAGGTGGTTTCTTTCTAGAAAACCCAGTTGTCACTACCTATAATAAATTAGCACTTGTTCCAGCAGAAGGGAGGCTTGGAGGAATTGGAAAGTGTGGGAACTGAGGCATTTTAAAGCTGAAGAAAAGTGAGCAAAGGGGGACATCATAAGAATTGTATAAAATTATGCATGCTGCAGAGAAAGTGGATAGATATAATATTTTTCTTCCTCTATCATAATACGAGAGCCCATAATTCCTCTTCACACAGCACATTGATAAACTATGGCAGGGGTAGCCAACATGGTGCCCTCCAGATGTTGATGGACTCCAACTCCCATCATTCCTTAGAACTGGCTGTGCATCTGGAGGTTGGCTATCCCTAAGCAACTGAATTTGCTACTACAAGAAGTAGTGAAAACTGCCAACTCAGGTGGCTTTAAAAGGGGTTTAGAAAAATCAGCTGATACTAGCCGTGGTGGCTATGTTTCACCTCTACTGTTGGAGGCAATATGCATCTGAATACCAGTAGCTGGGAAGCACAAGAGGCCAGAGTGCAGTTGTGAGATGTCCTGCTTGCAGACTTCCCATAAGCATATGGTGGGTCACTGTGAGAACAGTGTTTGTTTATTTATTGTATTGCAATATTTCTATATCAGCCTGCTGCTCCTATCAATCTGCACTAGTTGCAATTTCAGATCATCTCCAAGAGCAGCCCCAGGGAAAGCACACTAAAATAGTCCTTCATGGATGTTAGCAGGATGGAGGAAGCTGCACTAGTTGGGCCTCTGACCTGATCCAGCAGGCCTCTGTGCTTATGCTCCATGCTGCAATCAGTCAAAACAACATTCTTCAGCTTCTCCACTTTTAACAGAGGCCAAAAAAAGGGCACTACTGCACAAAGACTTCAGAATCAATCACATTGGAAAATCTACTATTGGCAGGGAGTAGTCAACTTTCCACTAATCAAGGATTTATCTTTGCCGTGTATTCGTGACTTTACAAAAGACTTCAGCCTCCTGCTTTAACAATGGCTTGAAAATTATGATCCAGAGTGAGTTGAAATTTCCTTAGGTCAGATACATGATTTCAGAGTTGCTATGAAGTTGGCACAACACATCTCTAGCACAGTGCTCCACCCCACTTGTTTACCTAATCCTGTGTTTAAATAATGTTTACAAGAATACTTGCAAATTATTCCAGCCCATTGGATTTTCAGGTGTTAAAAACACAGATCTAAACCTTGTCTGGAAATATCAAGAGAGCTGGATCTGGCATTCTCTCTCAAAAGCTATATTGGAAAACATGTTCAAAGGCAACTCTTTACTAAGACCCAAAGCATAACTTTGATATAAAGCAGCAGTACAGGATAATAGCACACAAGGGATGTGGCACAGAAGGCAAAGCCTTGTAATAAATACTTTCTGAAAGCTAATGCCAGGTTTGATCCATACTATCCCTGGGGCTGCTTATCATTATTATCATCAGATTATTATGTGCCTTGTTTTAGAGGAAACTGGCTAAAGATGGCTGTTAAAACTATTTCCAATAATGGATTACATGGCCCATATTTACGGGGCTATTTCAGCCTCGATTCCGATCAGCTTTTGTTGATTTATAACACTGTCACCAACTTTAAGCACTTGTAGTCAATTGTATTATACAGGGTGTAATGAATAGACTCACCAGCTTCAGAGGCAAGTTGTGTTACAGAAGAGTATGAAGTACAACTAACACAGTGAGGGCACATTGATTGGCCCCTCCTGCAGGAGGTGCACATGGAGTAAAGTTGTTGCAGATCAGCTTAAATGGCAATTTGAAATTCTGCTAAATCACTTTAAGAGGGAAGGCCATGAATCTGTTTTAAGGAGCATTTGTGTTTTCTGCAGAAGAAGGGAGATTGGCTACTTAGGCTCTCTTGGGAAACTACGAAATATTCATGCAAGACCTGAATCCAGATAGGAAACAATATCCATACGAAACAAAAATGGCTGCTGACATGTAGTAGCATGGTTAGTCCCTGTGACCTACCTGCCAATTGCCCACAGTTATCCTAGAGCCATGGAGCACCTGACTATTCCTTCCTCTAAGGTCTTCCAAGTATCTTCTTGCGTCTCCTATTAAAATTTTGACATATATTCCCAGCATGGGCCCATTGTTAGTGCTGAATAACGAAGGCTACCTACAATGTACTGCCAGAGTACCACAGCAAAACCTCTTCCGGGGGGGGGGGGGGGAATGGGACAATAACAACTAAGGTTTGCATTTAGAAGTGCAGAGGATAAACTTTTCTCCTGATTTTTATAAGCTGTGGAGAGTTGTAGGGTGAGAAGGGAGAGGCTTGTAATAGGCTAGAAAATCCTTCAGCCAAACCATATCAGTCCAATCATAGTACAGTGGTGCCTCGCAAGACGAAATTAATTCGTTCTGCGAGTTTTTTCATCTTGCGATTTTTTCGTCTTGCGAAGCACGGCTTCCCAAAGTCTTCAAAATCACCAAAGTCTTCAAAAACCTCAAAAAAGGCTACCACGCCGCGTGCTATGAGTTGGTCCTCGAAGTCACCCTGGGTATTAATGGTTTTAAGAAAAAGGAAACAAACTTGCAAGACGTTTTCGTTTTTTTCGTTTTTCGTCTTGCGAAGCAAGCCCATAGGGAAATTCGTCTTGCGAAGCAACTCAAAAAACGAAAAACTCTTTCGTCTTGCGAGGTACCACTGTATTGCTTTCAAACGTGCTAAGAGGAAGGCACGCTTGGCAAATCCACACCGTGATCAACTCCCACCTGGAAACCAATGTCCCCACTGTGGAAGGACATATGGATTCAGAATTGGCCTCCACTGTCACCTACGGACTGATTGTTAAAACCGTGTTTATGGAAGACAATCTTACTCGGCTACGAGTGATCACCAAAGAAGAACAAAAGAAAAGGAGCTTAGGAGACTTCCGGGTTGGCGCCTCTGGCAATGGCGGATTTCCTCCGATCGGGAGGAATTCGCTCCGTGGAAAAAAGGGTCTGAACCGCCACGGCGAGGCGGAGACCCATCAAAAACCACAGGCGGGAGAAGCCTGTGGACGTGGGATTCGGCTGGCACCTTTGCGCCCCCCCTACTCGCGGGGAACCCCGGTTTTGGGGATCCGGAGCGATGTGGGGTGAGTGGCGTGGTGCTTTGAATCGACTGCTTCTTTCACAGAGTGAAGCCGCATTGCTGTTGCCGGAGAGCGCTGACTTTTTCCTGTGGACAATTGGATTTTAAATAACTGCCCGTGAGTAGAACGGAAAATTGGATTAAGAAATTTCTTTTAATTTGGCACTGAAGCGGGAAGGTCTAAACAGGAAGTCCGCCTTCCGCTTTTGTAGATAGATTAAAGCAAAGACACGGCAAGCTAGTGCTTAGAAAGTCGTCTGTAAAGGATCAATTTTCATCATTTAAAATTACTGAACCCCCCTTGGAAGCAGGAGAAGAGGGGGGAACTTTTTCTGGACTGTTTAAACCTGCAGAAGAGAGAGTAAAGAAAAGCAATTTTCCACCGTCTTGAACCTGGGAGCGGGGTGTCAGGACAGACGTCCTCGGGAAGTTCATTGACTATAGACAAACGTTTTTGACAGATAGTTAAAAGAAGAGAAACATATTGATTCAATTGTTACCCTTAGCTTATAAAAGGAACAAAATTTTTACATAATATCGGAAAAATGAAACTTTGTTGTTTGATCTGCTTTTTTTAAAAAAAGAGATGGATACAAATAGAAGCTTTTTCCCTTAGAGGGAGCTTGCGAAACTGTTATTAAATCTGAACTGGGGAGCTTTGCAGCTGCAATAGATTAAGATTGTGGGACCAGACTCTGACCCTTGAACAATAATGTACTTGGAGGCTCTGGTGCTTGCCTTTGCAAGACAAGTGGTTTATTGGAACAGTTACATGAGAAGATGGATTTGATGACTGTTGCGATCGGAAATTTTGGACAGGCAGTGGGTACCTATATAGAACCCACTCAGGAATTAATCCAGGAGTGTGCTCTGACAGATCAGATGAGGGAGGAGGTTGTTGCTGAACCTCGGGAGGCAGAGATGGAGGGAACTGTGGCCCAGCAGGAACATGAGTTGTTGGATTTGACGAATGAACTTGGAAAAAGCCAGATTTGGAGAGACAGAGTCTTGTTTGCCTTGGAGATGGGGGGCTGGATAGACCCCCCTATGCAGGGATGTTTTGACCTTTCAAGTCTGGCTTGGGGCCGGGAGGAGTTCAGAGTTGTGGGGGCCCTTAACTTTGGAGGGACCTTGAAACATGCTTTTAAATACCACATGGAGTTCAGTGTTGACTATGGAAAAGGGGCTGATCTGTCGAGAAGGGACAAAAATATTGTCAAGCTGGAGTCTCCACGAGTGAAAGGAGCAGAAGACAAAGTAAAGTACAGGTATAAATATGAAGAAGACCTGCGGAAGGGACATGGAAGAGATTTAAGAGCCTCGGACATAAGGTTACCAGGTTGATGAACTAGATGGATGGGATAGAAAGGACTGACAAAACCCGAGACCAGGAGGAAGAGACGTTGGATGAAGATTGGAACAAAGTTTTAAAAAAATTATTTAGGAAAGTTTTGTAAAATTAATGAGTATTAGAAAAATGTTGGAACGAAATCATTTGGCTTTAGCAGAAATGTTAAAAAGAATTACGTAAGAATATGTTATGGTTATGAGAAATTGGTATAAATAAGATTTAAGTTTTAAGTTTTAGGGTTTTTATGGTAAGATATGGTTAAAATAGATTAAGGTAAATTAATGACAGAATATTATGAAAGATGGAAAGGATTTGCTGAGATAATTAACAACTAGAATACAAAAAAGGAAGGTGCGAGGAGGTCGATGAAATAATGTAATGACAGTTAAGGATTTGGGAATATTGGATCTGTTTTTAAATTTTTTGTTTATCTTTGCTTTTTGCTTTTGAAGTATTATGTGTTTTGCTTTTTCTTTTTGACTTTGATTTTTATTGATTTGTATTGTTTAATTGTTACTTGTTTTTTCCTTCTTTTTTTCTTTGTTTCTTTGTAATCTTAAAATTCTCAATAAATATCACTTTAAAAAACAAAACAAAAGAAAAGGAGCTTTTTCCTGTATGTAGCGTAGATGGGAGTTTCATCAAAAAGTGTAAATATAGTTTTCATCAGCCATAATCACAAGGGTAATATAGTAGAGCAGAGCTTTCCAAACTGTGTGTCGCGACACATTGGTGTGTCGGTTGCAGTCTGTGGGTGTGTCATGCAAACGCTCCCCATGCTTCTCCCAGGGTTGGAAAGGGGTTAGTTTAACCTTCCGGTTTGCTAGTAAAACTGAATCACTGTGTCACAAAATGATGCATGTCTAAAAAATGTGTCACTAACATGAAAAGTTTGGAAAGCTCTGTAGTAGAGGCTTCAGCTAGGTCACCATGTAGTACCCAGTTGAATGACTGGACACTGCCTCTTTCATTAAAATTCAGCTTACAATTTGATACTAGACCATATGCTTATGTAGATGAGCAGAAGTGTGTCAGAGTCACTTGTGAAACTAAAGCTTTTATGTTTAAGCTTATTGCAAAATAGCTGAACCAAGATAGTACATTTATTGTTCCCCATGTGAATCCCATGGTGCCGGGGAACTATTTGCGGAGCTAGAATTGTCCAGTGAATGAAGCATAGGATCTAAAAATTGGGATCCAGATTTGCACATCTCTCATTGTCATGAAATGATCTGGTGCCCCTGTAGCAGCTTCATCCCCTTGCCACTAGAAAATGGAATAATCCTACATGAACTAAACACAGAGGGGTAATGTTAAGAAAACTGCTGCAAAATGTGCTATGCATCTGGAGTGCAACATCAACAAAGGTTATATCAAATACCAGTAAGATTTATATAAAAAAACCTAAGAAACAAAAAAGTTTATTATGTTCCATGCTAAAGCTTTGACAATCCAAATTATCATGGTACAGCTACTTCACTGGGCTGCATTTTGACTAAGATGAGGAGAAAGGCTTTTTACCTTAGCCAAGTGGTGTCTTGGGGATGAATTATATCTATTATACCATGCGCTCAGGCACTCGTCACAGTGTTCCACTGCACCAGAAGCAGTTTAGTTATGCTGGCCACATGACCCGGAAAGCTGTCTGTGGACAAACGCTGGCTCTCTCGACCTGAAGCGAGATGAGCCATAGTCGCCTTTGACGGGACTTAACCATCCAGGGGTCCTTTACCCTTTATATCAACTTTGTAATTTAGGAATGCTACAGGTGTGCTTAGGAAGGCATTTGAAAAGAGTCTCCTAACCATTCCTTGCTATCAATAAGTGTCTTTCTGGGCAAGTTCCCGTATCTCCCTTTCTAATATAATGTACCTTAAAACATGGTAGGATCAGGGCTGCTGGCATTTCCTTCCACCCCACCTCCATGTTTCTTAGATGATGCCACCAGCGCTAGTCTCTCTGTCCCAGACATTCAGTTTCAATGCTATTTTCAAACATCACCTTGTCTCCGAGAGATACACATCTTCCCTCCTTGCAATCCAACACTTCACCAAAGCACCAATTAGAATTAAAATTGCCCTAGGAAAAGAGGGCAAGTAAAACAAATGGCTGCAGGCGGATCACAATAATAAAAGGATGATTAATTCCTTTATACAACCAGCAAGAAGCCAATGTCTTTATACCACCAGCAAGAAGTTAATCATGTTGTGGGAAGTGCTGGTTCCCTCACTTACATGTAGGGAGAGAACATGGCTATTAATATATATATATTGCATGATTTTACAAGCATTGTTCCTCTATCTATTTGTTCTACACTCCTCCCTGTTGTGCCTCGGGATTCCCTCCCCTTCATTTAATTCTGCTCTCCTTTGGAGGATGGGATACTGCCAAACCAATGAACTATGCAGAAGTAATGTCTGAATTATCTGTGGCTTGAATGATAAATCCTTTTGGCACTCACATTGCCCTAGGCTTCTGAAGCACCTTGTCTCATCTTGGGCATATGAAACTTTTGTTTTTATACTTGGGTGTTTTACTTTGTTCTGTTTTTGGTGACGCAAGTTGAAAGCCCCATGCAGCTCTGAAGGCTTGTTTTAATCATCAGGATCCAGATGGTGCCTATGTAGTGTAATAAAACATTCAAATTGAGTCTAGGTTACATTTGCTGCTATACACCACCCTAGCAGAGCCACAAGTTGCACAAAGTCAACCAAATCTCCCCCTAAGGAGAAGTCTAATACAAAAGAAATTAACACAACTAGAGAGGTAGGCACAATCAGTTACAAAGAAACAAGTGCATCTCATACACTCTGGGAAAGGGGAAGAACAACAATCTCTGGAACGTGAAAGACAGAACGTAAAAATTCTGATATATGCAATGAACAAGGAACACAAATATTTTCAAAACCTTGGTCCAGCAGTCACAACAGAAATCATTTCTATGGTACACAAAAAATTAAATTCAAATATTATAGGAAATTCATTTTAGCTTTCTTTCTTCTAATCTTTCTTCTTAAACATTGTAGCATCTGTTTACTCTTTTTCTCCCCTTCTTCCTCCCACACCCATATATTGTGTTCACCTAATCGTTGCTTGCCTTTAAATGATCTCTCTGCAACCATGGTCATTTACTTTTCTCATGCTGACAATATAAAATCCCCAACAAAAGTAGGAAGCAGCTAGACATTAGTCTTCATCCTGATAAAACAGAGAATTTTCTGCCTGAGGAAAAATTAGTGGCCTGCTATTCTCTTCTCCTTGGTCTCATGAAGGCTTTGGGAGCCTAGGTCAGTTGAGCATGCTCTGATGATTCTGGCCCTTAAATGATTGTTGTCTCTGAAAGAAAAAATGTGTCATGCTCAGCAGATAAAGTTCAGCCTGCCCCCACTTCTGAAGTGATGTTGGGATGAAGAACTGAGTTCATGTCTGTCAGATATCTCTGTTTGTTCTCTTTTTGGAAGTGGGGGATGAACTAATAATTGGAATGCTCATGAGCTCTACCTCACTTTATATCTGAGATAATCACTGAGGGACCTGGCTGATGTGCAGAATATTCATTTAAGGGTGAAGGGCAATTTGTGTTCCATTGAGGCATGAGGAAGGGGAAGCAGTTAAGCAGTGTGATTTCTGGGAAGGGCAGGACAGGATGGGTCAGATCTCTTTGAGCAGAGATCAGGAAAGTCATAACCATGGACAGTTCTCAGTGTGCGCTGCCAGCTGAAGCTCTTCTCGCTATTGCAACTATAAAGAGGTGTTTTATCAGCAGAGAACTTATGTAATCTAAATCCTTATGTAGGTTGGCTCCTTGGAGGAACTGGCTATGCGGGGCTCCTTTGGGAAGAAGGGCAGGATATAAATTTAAACAATAACAGCAACAATGATCTCTGATTCTGCAAATGCTGGCTTCCATAGCGCAGTGGTGACAGGGAAGCTATTGGTGGCTTGTATTCAATGAAGAGCATCTCTTCTAATAGGTGTCTTTAAGAATTATGCAGAATGGCTGAATTTGGAAGTACAAATTGTAATTATGCCTTAGAAGGGCTTTTGCCACTCATGATCTCCTAAACCAATATTTTCTAAAAACAAAGGACACATTTATAGTAATATTCAGTTTTTCATTTCAAAAGGCTTCCAGTGAGACATTTCACAGTCTCTCTTTCTCTGAGCCCTAGGGAGAAATCTGGAAGCATGTTTCAGAGCAGCTCAGTGGCATCTTGCCTAATGTGAAGGTTTAACAGTTTTGGAAAAACCTAGACTCCGGTTTATCATTTTATCATAGTTGGAACTTGCAAAGTGTTTTAATTAAAGTCTCCAAGTTCCATCAATGCTATTATAGAGCACTAAACATGCTCAGTATTGACTTTCTATTTCACTAGGACTTGCTCCTTTTTCAGCACATTTCCTTATCCAGCTTAGCTATCTAAATATGCAAGAAAATGTGTTTGTGTTTGAACTAAAATGGTTCAACCTGCCACTATTTAAATTCTGCCTATCCCCATTTTAGGAATAAGTAACCTCTTCCTTAGTCAACATTTCAGTGTGATCTGTATACTTAATTCTGCCTCTCATTTTAAAGGAGGTGGTTTCCAGCAGCAAAATCCCCCCTTTCTATTATTTGTTTGTTTGTTTGTTTGTTTGTTTGTTTGTTTGTTTGTTTATTACTTATTTGTTTCCTTCTCATTATATTCCACCTGTCTTCCATCATGGAACCCAGTGTAATCTACATATGGTTCACTGGAAGTCACCTATCCAGATACTCAGACTGCTTCAGCAAGGTGGCGGCCACATGTGTCCTCAAACTGAACATTTGTGCTGTGACAAAGAGTTGAGGAGAGATTTCAATTTTTATAGAGAAATTAAAAAATAATAATAATGGGGAGAACTGGGTTTTTTGGGAGAAAAATTTCCTGCATACCCCTAAAATCTGCATTTTTAACTATGAACAATAAACCTGACATACATATGCCACAGCTCCCACACACTTGCTCCTGGCTGCTGCTCCTTGAGCAGCAATGGTTGGGAGGTCTTTACCCCATCCAGATGCCAAGGAACTGCCACAGCAGCATTAACAATGCCAGGAAGAGAAAAGTCCCCGCTGTGCTGCTGCCACAGCTAAATTAGCACACAGTTATGAGGGTTTGAGGGCTCATAAGAGGCATTTAGGGGGAGAAATAAAGAACCTGCCACAGAATTAACCTAGCTATTTTCCTATTTTTGCATGGCAGACAGGCTGCGTTTACCAAGCGTGATTCAGAAGTGAACAAAAATTCCAAATCCAACTGTAGAAACTGGTCCAAGCACCAGAAAAGGAGGCAAAAGGAAAGAGAGCCAAATACCTTCTTTCCTGCCACCGCTGTTGTTGCAGTCATCAATGTGAATGATGTGGGAAGGGATAAACTGTTCTCTATATCAAATAGCAATCAAAACAGCAGAAACACAGTTTGTAATACTGGCATGCTTTCTGGGCCTGGAAAATTTGTATTCAGAGCCCAGTGATCACAAAGTGTGTTGACATCAGCACTGAGTATAATTCATTTTAGAAATAAAAGTTTCATTGGAATCATCAGTTTTGTTTTTTTCTGGAGATGCAAGCATGAGTCTGCAGATCATTGTCCCATTTAGGTTTATATTTCTAAGAATTATCTTGTCATGAAGACAACCATGTAACAGAGATGTTCCTCTGCATACTCTTATACTGTAACTTTATAATCTAGTTTCCAAGCTGTTAGTTGCCTGAAAATAAAGTCTTGTAACCTATACTTACAGTATAGTCTTATCTCTAAATATTGATAGAACCATGGCTTATAACCAATAAATTCATTTATAAACTCGTGGTATAAAAGAGCTCTGTTACTCATAAGAGTGTTTTTTTCCTAATCTTTACAAATATTAGGAGAGGATGTGGTCTGTGCCTTATGCAACAGAGGCTATCATGGCTGACACAATATACTAGTGGAATTAGGCAGATGCCAGACTTGTAACCTATTAAGAAGCCCACTGTCCATCCACCTCAACCTTTACTTGGCACAAGGCCTCCCAAGTTCAGAAGTAATGCACCCTGTCTCTGATCTGACCTGGCCTAAAGCAACAACACTCCTGACTGAGTGCCTTTTAACAGTGCAGCAAGTACTGAGACATTCAGTTCATGTACCCCATTCTCTGACTTTTCTGCTCCCCAGCTCAAGGGCTCTTTCTACAAAAGGTGTCTGAGCTTCAGTCTGAAGCTGGTGTGGAAGGGTACTGAATATAGACATTCTTGGCTGTATTTTTATCCATCAGCCTAACCCCAGCCTAACACCCTGGCCATGCACTGACTTGGTGAAGTTTCTAGCATTATCTATAATGCAGATAAGAGGCTGGAACAGTACATCTAGTTTATAAAATCAGAGCTATCTGGACATACCCTTAAACACCAAATCCAGCTTTTTAGAAGGCAATTATCAGACCCAGAAATATGCCACCTTCTCAGCAGGAACAATCAATATTGGTAGTCATATACTTTTTGTTCCTAATGTTATCAGCCTATTCTGGATCTGTACTCAGAGCAGGGCCATCAGATTTGCAAATTCTATATAAAAATAATTTTGGGAGAAGTCAATGGGCTAGAAATGTGTATTTATTTAATGTATCAATGTGTGCATATTTACCATTCAGAAACCAGACATCACTGGATTGTTCTGTTTACAATAGTACAAGAAATAATTTACTCCTCACAGCCCTTTAAACCTGTTTCCACCTTTCCATCCTCCTCACCAGGTCCCTTAAACCCTATGAATACAGATTGGAAAACACAAAGCCACTTTGCTGGTGAACTGCTGAGAAAAGGTTTCAACATGGCTGGTATTAACTGTGCAGATCTCCGACCTTCTATTTATATCTAGGATAATTGGCGAGTAGAAATATTTGCATTGCTAATTTTACTCTATTTAGAACAAGCCCAGGGTCTCCATAATACGTTTTAATGGCTGCACTTAAGTTACTGCCCCCTCCCATCTCTTTCTTCTTATCGAGTGTTTTCTCTCAGCAGATTAATAAGTTCGCAAACAAAGAGCTCGATGTGTCATTGCTCCATTATTACAGAGTTTGGTTCAACAACAGAAAGTTGACATTAGCTACCCTAACCAAAGGGGAGGGGGGAACCACAGAAAATTCTGAGAAGGCTGCAGAGAATGCTATTTAAAGAAAAACAGGTTGCTGTTCTCTTACTAGGAACTGATGAAAAATATCAGCACGTGTTTCTGTTGCAGACTATATACAAACTGCAATGCTTTTAGATGCCTCATCTGAACAGGGCCCCCCCAAATACTAGAACTGGATGGCTAAACCTAGGTTTTTGTTACTATTAAAAAAGGACATCATAACCCTTTAATGGTTGCCCTCTAAAAACATGAGGTTGTGTGTGTCTTTCTAGGTCCATTACATGATCACATGAGGCTTTTACTAATGAACTGACTGTCTACAATTCTTCCTTCAACTAGGATTGATCCATGAATCAGGAAACTCCTGGTCTGAATCTTGCCTCTCAGGTAAGCCACTATTTTTAATATCATCCATCTGTAATATAGGGGTTATAATACAGATCTTCCTTTAAGGATTCTAAAAGTAACATATGTGAGTAAGTGCTGTTATTCTTATCACACACACACCCCACGCAATAAAATACTAACAAATTATGCCAAGAAACTGACTTTTTCCCATGGAAGGGAAATCCCATTTGGATTGTATACAAATATGTAAAAGAACAGTGGGATCTCAGGAGATGCATTGTTAGGTATACCTATTGATCTGTGCAAGACTAAGAGCATGGATTGCAAACATTAAACCCAAACCAAGTGAACTGAGCACAATAACTGTGCTTAAGATATTCCCCACCACCACCATTCAGTCATGGCAGATACAGCCACATCTTTCCCTCATAATTCATAAAAAAGACATTGTTATTATACATGTACTCATTTACGTCTGTAGTAAGACTCGGTTAACAGGAACTATGTCAATATAATACACACTGCTAATATCAGCAAATTCAATAAACCATTGGCTATAAAATGAAACCATATTCATTCTTCACACTAAATCCACCAGGGCTAATTATGGAAAAATGGCCAGAAGTGTTTTTACATTAACACATTAGTGCTCTGTATACACTATGTGCACCTGTGCACAAATACACAAGCAGCCCTCTACATTGGAACTGATGGTTAACTGCCAGTGAGGAAGTTAACTCCCAGAAAAGAAAGGTGGCAGCAGTTTCTTGGCTGCGGATCGGTGACAGCACTGCGAGTCCCACTACTGAGCAGACGCTGAAACCTGTATATGTCTTGCCTCCCTTCAGAACACTTGTCATCTGATAAGCAATACAATGGTTAAGTTTGCACTTTGGGATTCTTTTGAGATATATGTCTGCCATTTTTGTTTATTTTTTCACATTGGGGATTTGCGTCTGCCAATGCAATTAGGAGCCATGGGAAATTCCATGGATGCTTTTATAAAGATGTTTTCTTAGTGATTTGCTATGGGTTGTGTCTAATGTTTGTTTTACTCAGAGGAGACCCATTTAAATTAATGGACACAATCCACTTAGGTCTACCAATTCCAATGAGTCTACTCTGAATCCTATGTCTTTATCTGCTCTTAATTTGTGTTGGAATTGCATATGCTTTGGTTTTATTGTAACCAACCCCAGAATTATGGATCAGGCTGGTTATAGGCAACATACAACTCCCTTGTTACAAGAGCTCCACTCGCTACTGGTCTGTTTCAGGGCCCAATTCAAAGTGTTGATTATTACGTATACAGTGGTAGCTCGGGTTACAGACACTTCAGGTTACAGACGCTTCAGGTTACAGACTCCGCTAACCCAGAAATAGTACCTCGGGTTAAGAACTTTGCTTCAGTATGAGAACAGAAATCGTGCTCCGGCAGGGCGGCAGCAGCAGCGGGAGGCTCCATTAGCTAAAGTGGAGCTTCAGGTTAAGAACAGTTTCAGGTTAAGAATGGACCTCCAGAACGAATTAAGTTCTTAACCCAAGGTACCACTGTAAAGCCCTATGTGGCTTGGGTCCAAGTTATCTGAAAGACCATATTCCCTCATACAAAAACCTGCACAACCTCTGAAATCTCCATGGGAAGGCCCTTCCCTGCTCCCCTTTCAGGCATGCTTGGTGGGGACATGGGAGAGACAGCCTTCTCAGTGGCTGCTCCCAGACTTTGGAGCTCCCTTCCTACATTATTTAGACTGCCTCCCTCCCTGTGGTCCTTCTGCTGGCAGGTAAAGACCTTTTTATTCCAACAAGCCTTTGAAAACTGGCATTTTCACAGGAAGGGGCTAGTGTTGTTATTGCCTGTATTTTTAATAGAACTTTTTAATAGAATGATATAATTTCATTAGTGTTTCGTTTTTCTTTAATGACAATCATTCATATATATATATATATATATATATATATATATATATATATCTGTTTCTATTTTATCTTTTTTGATTTTTTTATCTGTAAGCCACCTTGAGTTCTGGTCTGGGGAAAAGGTAGGATATAATTAAATATAATAATCAAAATTTTAAAAAGGAGTGAACTAACTTTCAACTAATTTTCAACAGAAAAAAGACCATTCAACTGTCATCCATGTATCACAAAGCAACCACATTCCCCTATTTCCAGACATTTGGCCAGTGCTTGTCCCACATTAAATTCAATTTCAAAACACAGAAACCTCTGCCTCTCTGCACCTCACAATGTTTAACCTGACCATGAGATACCCAGTTCCAGAACTTCCTGTTTGCCAGTCCACAACCTAGTGCACTGCAATGCCCTGTTCCTATGAAGTACAACCTTGGAAAGCCACCAGGAATAGAAGTGTGCCACTTCTTTAACATGTTGATTACAAAATTCACGAATACATGAAACACATGCTGCTGTAATCTCCTATCCCCTGGGTGGCTCCTCTGTATTTACAATTCTTTGCCTAAGGCAAGGATTCAAGGAAGAATCCCTACTAAGCACAAGGAAAATGATATGGTGTCAACAAGAGGGTAAGAGCCAGAAAGACTGGGCTTGGAAACTTCTAAGGGGCATGGTGGAAGACAAAATCATCACATGGAAATGTTTAGAAACAGAATTAACAACAGGCATGTAGGTCTTAAAGCCCATTCCTATTACTAAGATCCAGGCACATTTTCCAAATTTTGTGAAGTTGAAGGGATTGCTTACTCTAGAAGTATTGGCCCCCACAGAGGCAATAAATCCTATTTCTAAGTCCATGAGTTCCAGGACTTCAGATGTGCTTGCTACCTGAGAACTAGGATGTTGGTGATAGCCCCAAGATACATTCATTTCTGTTTAGAGTGGCTAGAGTCAGTGTTCAGATACCCTAAACATAGCTCACAGGTCAGTTTTGACATGTAAAAGGATCGCTAAGCACATTACAAAAATTTCTCTAAGGAAAATTTCAAAGTGTGGAGACTTGCCACAGGAAATCTGAAATTTTCTTGCCTGAAAATTTAATTATTATTAGAGCGATAGGCTAGCTTTGGGGGCACAGGGCAAGTTCTGTAGAACACATAGCTCTGTCTTCCAACATGACAACAGCAGTAGCATCTGCTGCCTGAGGAAGTCAGTTCAGTCTGCCTAATAGTAGGGCTGACCCTGCTAGAAAGCGAGAGAATCTTCAAACATCCTTCAGTAGGCATCCTACTAGCTCCCAAGACATCCAACACTTGACTTTCCTTCAACAGGAACTATGGAGAAATCTACAAGTGGAGGAAGCCAAAATCAGAATAAACTGGGTCATTTTGACACACACATTAAAATACATTTTCATCTAGAACAGCCAGAAATCACAGAATAACATTGCAAGGCAGCAGGAATTCAAAGGAAAACACAGAAAGGCTTTGAGAAGTTACTGATAAAAGATACTTGCAACAATGTGGGTGTTACCTGCCTTTTAAAACAGTATTTTCTGTCATGAGACTATCTTTTGAAGGTTAAGGTACAGTAAAAGATATAAAATCCTGAAATAGCATCCTCGCCCTGAACAATCAACATCATGACCCATGTCCTATATGTTGCATTAAAACTGAAAAACTCCTTTTTTCAAGCTGTAAAAATCTCAAAATATTCATGCCAGTGCATACATTTGAAAAACATTATACTTGGAAAGCTTTTCTTAACTGATGCCTTTCCACCCACAGTTAGGGAGTTAGTGTTAGAATCCCTATTATTATAATATAAAAAATAACCTTCAACTACAAAACAAGAAAAAGGTTTGTTTTTTTAAAGCAGAAAAACAGGTATGGACAGTGTATGCATCCAAACTAGGAGGCTTAACTACTTTCCTTTCCCTAACCTTAGTACAGAAAAGCAGAAGGAATAATTTTTATACAATGACAAATATATAATCTGAGCTATATAGAGCAATGAGAGTTACAAGTCTCACTCTGTTAAAAAATGGGGCAAGGAGTAGAAAAATGGGGGGAATAAGTATTCAAGAACACTTAGAATGCGGTCTGTTGTATCGGTAAAGGTAAAAGGTAAAGGACCCTTTGGACGGTTAAGTCCAGTCAAAGGCGACTATGGGATTGCGGCGCCCATCTTGCTTCAGGCCAAGGAAGCTGGCGTTTGTCCGCAGACAGCTTTCCAGGTCATGTGGCCAGCATGACTAAACCGCTTCTGGCGCAATGGAACACTGTGACGGAAACCAGAGTACATGGAAACACTGTTTACCGTCCCGCCACAGTGGTACCTATTTATCTACTTGCACTGGTGTGCTTTTGAACTGCTAGGGTGGCAGGAGCTGCAACAGAGCAACGGGAGCTCGTTCCGCTGCGGGGATTTGAACTGCCGACCAACTGATCAGCAAGCTGAGTGGGTGTGGGTGTTTGTGTTGCCATGTCAATAAGTGTGAGACTGTAGTGGTAATACCATTCATATATATATTTGTGTGTGTGTGTGTGTGTGTGTGTGTGTGTGTGTATAATAGGAAATAAATACTGGTCCTCTCTACATCTTATACACAAGGAGGTGGTGCTATGATTTTTCTTTTAAAGTTATAATTAATTGGAAGTGGCAGAGTAGAGATAAAGCAAAATTGCATACTGCAGTGTAAGTTTCTGTATAAGCCAATCAGTACTGTACAGTAGAATGATCGCGAAGTTGGTCGGGGGGGGGGGCAGGGGACGACCGGTACTGCTGACAGTAACAAGATTCAGTGGCAACAGTTACAAACTTGGATGCTATGCCTACAGGGCTGATATGACCTGAGTCTAGAGAAATTATCTCTTATTACCTCAATTATGCCCTAACTACACCTAAAGCGACTATCCCTAATCATTCAACTGCTGGCTATGGTACAACAGTTACACTCAGTTAATGCCTGAATGCAATTTCAGGTGAGAGCAGCAGGGCATTGTCAACTGATCTGCCATTAAAAGGCACCCTGTATTAGCTTTGAAAAGGATAAAGGGTTCCCCCCCCCAACCCTAAACATTGATAAATGGTAGGATTTTGATTATTTGGAATATGAAGGGAAAAACAGAAGCTGCAGAGGAATTCCTGGGCTATCATATGCAAAACAACCTAGCCAAGCTAGGGCCATTAAGGAACAATACAGGGCCATTGAGGGTCATAGGAAATGCAAGAGACTTGTTTGTTTTTGCTGGTTTCATTTTGTTGTTGTTTTATTAAATATTGCAAACATCCCTGAAAAAATTGAACTGAAGGGTGGTATAGACATGTTAATACATCTGTTAAAATGCAAGAGCCCTGCTGTTCTCCTTCAAGTTCCAAGGTATCAGAAGCCTGCTTCACTATAACTTGTAGGGGAGATTTTACTGTGACTGCCCCTGTTCTGTGGAACAGCATTCTTTCCAAAATACAACAGGCACCCACTATCTGCACTTTCCAGAATCAACTGAAGACATTTTTTCTTCCAACAAACTTTCCCAGCTAGATGAATAGATCTCTCCTGAGGGTGTCTACTTGGTATTGTTTTAAAATTTATTTACTATTATTTTCTGTGTTGGTTTTAGCTGTTTTGTTGCATTTTGTACATCATCTTAAGACACGTGTATGGAAAATTTAATAATAATAATATACACATTTTGGACATGCCCCATCCCAAGATCGATGGATAAAGGGAGATTCCGACCAAACATACGGAAAAACCTTCTAAGAGAAGGATGTTGAACATGTGCAGAGGAGGGTAACCAAGATGATTTATTTATTTATTATTTATTTATTGAATTTATATACCGCCCTATACCCAGAGGTCTCAGGATGGTTCAAGGAACAAAATCAAAATATAAAACCACAATATATATATATATAATAAAAATAAAAACAACAACCCAGTAACATGCCCCCCCCCCCAAAAAAAGAACCACATTTTAAAAGGGCATAGGAAGTCAATCAAATCAACCATAAGCCTGGTTAAAAAGGAACATTTTTGCCTGGCACCTAAAGGTGTACAATGAAGGCGCCAGTTGAACTTCCCTGGGGAGAGCATTCCACAGACGGACAGCCACTGCAGAGAAGGCACGTTCTTGTGTTGCCACCCTCTGGACCTCTCAATGAGGCACATGAAGAAAGGCCTTAGAAGATCTCAGGGTCTGGGTAGGTTCATATGGAAAGAGGCGGTCCTTTGGGGTATTGCGCTCCTGAGCCATTTGAGGCTTTATATGTCAAATTGGGCCCAGTAACTAATTGGTAGCCAATGCAGTCAGACCAGAACCAAGATGATCAAGGGTCTGGAAACGAAGCCTTATGAGGAGCGCTTGAAGGAGCTGGTTATGTTTAGCCTGGAAAAGAGGAGACTGAGAGGAGATAGCCATCTTCAAACATCTTAAGGGCTGTCACATGGAGGAGGGAACATGCTTGTTTTCTCCTGCTCTGGATGGTAGGACTCAAATCAATGGCTTCAAGTTAAAGGAAAGGAGATTCCAACTAAACACATGGAAAAAAAACTTTCTGACAGTAAGAGCTGTTCAGCAGTGGACAGACTCCCATGAGAGGTGGTGGACTCTCCTTCCATGGAGGTTTTTAAACAGCGGCTGGATGGCCACCTGTCATGGATGCTTTAGCAATCCATGCAATGCAGGGGGTTGGGCTAGATTCTAGGGAGCAAAACGGCACTTGAAGCCCTTAGGTAAAACGCTTATCTGAGCCGATTCGAAAACACTACAAGATAAGCCCATTATCTTTTCAGGCTGCCAAGGGATGGTCCAAAGCCCAGAAGTGGGAATCCAGAGAGGATATCCCATTTCAAGAACACTTATGCACACTATCAATACTTCTCACGATTACCAAAAGGTCATCTGACAAATGCTGGTGAGCTTTTAATATTGAATGTAGTTTGAATTGTTGATCCAGTAAAACGTCCTGCATGCAATTATTTTAAAAAGCATTTGTTTTCTCACAACAGCTGCACTGGCTTAAATCGACATTGTCTGCAGTTGTCTTGTGTTTATTAAGCTTGTATCAAATGTTTTAGTGTCGATATCTTATGCAATTGCCGGGGTATGTGTGTGTGTGGATTCCACTGAACACCTGATCCTTACTTAACAGTTGAATAGGAGACTGAGCTCACATACAGTAGTGCGTATAGCAAAGAGCAGTAGGTGCTTTGGGAGGCAGCTCAGTTTCCCTCAGACATTTCAACAGCCTGTCTAGTAAAGGATCAAAATCCATCTACATACAGAAGAGATGCTAGACATGCAGCAAGACTAATCTGTGTTGACACATTAGGCTGCTGCTTGTGGCAATGCCAAAGTATCTGCTGTGCCTGCCATCTTTTACCCACTGATACATATGGAAGGAAATCTGACTTTTCTGCAAAACTCCGGAGGACAGACACTGCCCTTGCCCCTCCTTGTTCTCCCTTCAAGCAATTTGTGGCCAATTATACACTTAGAACACTGAATGGGAAAGCCTTCCATTCTCTTCCTTTTTTGCTCTTTTTGATACAGACGTTCACAATACATATGTAATTGCTCTAATTTTTTTCCCACCTCCTTTAGGGAGAAAGAGTATTTCTCTTTTTAAAGGATATTAGTAACCCTCTGGCAATTCCATTTATCTATTCGGAACAGTGATTCTGAAAGTATCAGCTCTCTTTCACATACACACAGAGAGAAAAAGAGAGAGCACCCGAACACCTTCCGAGACAATGGGAGCTCAGAGTGTACATTACACACACCTCTTTCTGTTTCTTTCTCTCTGTTACAGAAACTGAGACAAAGCCAACACAAAACAACAGATGACACTTTCATAAATATTGAAGTACAGATACCCTGTAATAATGCAGAGTTAACAATGTGCATATTTTATTTATGCAACAGACAGCAGGGATGTGCTGATTTATTTGCTAGAGCTAAAAGGTTTTGAGGCACTACTGGTGCAGCCAAGCAGGAGGGGGTTAATGCTAAATTTTAAAATAAAATCAATCAGGAATGAGCACTCCTCCCCTCCATGCATCCAACCTATTCCTCACCTCAAAACACTAAATTTGTCAGGTTTTTAAGTTCCTTATAGCTACCCACTTATTACATAATTAGTAACCATGTCAGCATTTTTCTTGGAGTAAAAAAACACAAACTGAAAAACAGCCAGTCTGCCTCTCCGCATGTTTTAACTTCCTTTCTTAGAGCTTGAACAAAATAATCCCCAGGAACAGCCAGAAGTCATGCTCCTCTTGATTTATTATCATCCACAGACTTATCCCAAGAGAGCAGTAGACTTCCTATTAGACCACAGCATTCTGCTTCCCCAAATTCATCCATATTCTTGTACTTGCTGCGTTTTGCAATGATACGGCATCAAATCCCTTTCCCATGTCAAGCAATTTTCTTCTTTTTTTCTATTGGCCACTAGATCTTCCCAACAGATGTTTCAGTGACTTCCATAGCGGAAGAAATAAATATTAAATAATAAAAAAACAACAACCCACTTTCACAGCAGGGCAAAACATTCAGAAAAGTTACACAGAATGAAGACTACTTTTCGAAGCTGGATGCTTTTCAATTTATTTTAACTAGTTTTGAATGTCACTGCTGAAATACAAATAGATTTCTGTTTTAAATAAATGAAGGCAGCCCAAAGCCTACAAATTGTATTCCCAAAGGTAAAAAAGGTGCTCACATACATAAAAGTTTGTGTCATTAGAATGCCCCCCCCACAGCCAGATTAAATCTGCAAGCCCAGTTCATGGGATATGGCCTCTTTACTCTTCAGTCTGTTGCTCAGTTACCAGAACAGAGAAGTCTCAAAGGTAGGAAGTTAGATCATTGAAGATGTGGGGGATTGAACCTGGAACATTCTGCCTGCAAGGCTGATGCTCTTCCTCTGAGCTATGGCCCATCCCTAAAAAAACCCTGGACCCTATTTCCAAGCAGTCTCACATCCAAATGCTAACCCAGCCTGACCCTGCTTAGCTTCCAAGATCATGGGTGTTACCTAAAAGGTCTCCAGATGACTTCCACTGTAAAACATATACATAAATACAGCATACCGTAGAAAAGAGAAAAACGCATATAAAACACTAACATTCCATACAACCACATAAAAAACAAAACGCAGCCCCCCCCCAATAACAGCAATATAAAACTTTGGCAGCACGTTAGTGATAAAACAAAATGGTACTCCTGTCTACTAACCAACAGATAAATATAAAAAACCTCAAATACTGACACCCACCCCAGTCCAGATGTCAGCTATGTCAACCCAGCATTTGTTGTTGTTGTTTTAAATCTCTCCACCCCACCTAACCCTGAAGTCTTGGCCACAAAAGCCATTCACTGCAAATTTTTGTGTGGGTGTGTAGGTTCCCCAAGAGTGATCTGACAGCTCTCCTCTCCTTGCAGTGAGAGCAGCAGCAAACACAGAGCAGGAAGAAAACTGAACTACTCTGCAGCTGCTCCTCTCTTGTTGCTGCTGGGAGTCCCAAAATAGTAGGGAAGGATAAGGATACAAGTCAGTGTGGGTAATGCTGGGTTTCCAACTTGTGCCCTAGACAAGGGCATGGCTGATCATATATCTGTGAGTTGGTATCTAGGTGAAAAACATGTCTATTTGTGTTAGGCCCCCAATGTCTCTATTCTTATAGTTTCTTTCTATAAAATGCCACATGTGCAAAGTCCAGGTGCCAACACTGTACTGCAGAGAGGACCAAACTTTCTGTGGGGAATTTGAAATGCTGCCTAGTTGACGTAGTATCAAATGTTCCATCCACAAGTTCAGATCATTCACTTGCCTACAGGATCATTCCATGCCCACAGGAAATTAACATTCACAATGAAATGGTACTTTAATTTCCTGATTTGTATTTGCGAAGTTCAAGTAATTCACACCACACTTATTTGCACAGTGTCCTTGGAAGGCCACTGAAACAAATACTTAACATGTGTTCAGAAAACACTTAAGAACATGAGCATTTCCCTGCTCAGATTTGTGGTTTTATAGCAGGCAGATCAGCAGCTCATCACTTTTCCCAATGTATCTCAGATTCTAGCTACTTTGACAAACCATTTCTGGGCCACTGCTGTCCAGGATAAAGCCTACTTCACTACTGTGCTTTCCCCAAAGGAACTGCAGATGCATGCAAGACTGTCTCTGTCCCATGCTTTTCACTAGGTTTTAATATAAAACCCTATTCAGCTTGGGACCAGGATATCTAAAAGTTTGCTTCACTTCTTGTGTACCAAATCAATCACTGTGCTTTGCAGGAGAGGGCTTCCTGCAGAAACCATTTCCTCAGGAGGTTCATTCCATATGAGATAGGAATCAGGCATTTAGTATGGTGGCACCTGCCCTTTGGAACTTCCTCTGGTTACATATCAGTCAGTCACCATCTCTATTGTCTTTTCTCTGCCTACTGAAGACCTTTTTTCAACAACCCTTTTCAGATATTTATCTCACTCTATATATGTAATGGATTTGAAACTGTTCTTTTAAAAAAAGTTTGCAAATTGTTTCTATTGTTGATGTTTTTACTGCGAAATTGCTTCGAGATATTTTATGGAAAGTGATTCATAAATGCAATCAAGTAAGTAAATGAACAAACAAACTTTAGTTCAGAGAAGTGATATGCCAGTTTTTACCAAAATAATACCCACAATAATTTTTTTTTAAAGAAGCTGGAGGAGACTCTGTAATGTTGCAACACTTCAAATAACTTCCTCTTGATAAATCCTGACCCAAACCATTTATAAGCCAGTTTTCTCACTTCAGTCTCTTTAATATCTTCTGAACTTCACAAGGCAAAGAAACCTAGAAGTCCTGCTCTCCAAGTTATTTGCTATTCTGTGCTGCTGCACAGAGTGTGTTTTACTTTCTGTTTTTGATCCTTGTGCAGCAATGAAAAAGGTGTACAACCTGAAGAAAGGCTTCCTCAGTTCCTTGCTATCTATTACACTTGTCTGCAAAATAAAATTCACTGACATTTAAAAATGGAGCCAACAGATTCTGCTCTCTACAACTGGGAAGGATTTTAATTCACTTCACCTTTTCTGGTTTTCATACTAAAACCACTGAGATATGAGGCACGCTGACTCAGCTTCTTCTCTGCCTCCCATTAAGAGCTGGATTTTGAAAAGGTAATACAAGGAGCACAGATAATAAACCAAGAGTGAGAAGCTTATATTTAGGCCATATGACTAATTTTGAAATGTACACATGTATGCCTCTTTCTCGCTTTCCCTCTCCCTCCTTCTCTCTCTCTCTCTCACACACACTGATACACACATAACAATTACATACTTCCATCAGCCATATAAAAATCTGCAGTTACACATAAAAACTATTATAACCATATAGATACATGTAAAGTAAGCACAAAATCACCTTCAGTATGAAGCAATAGAAAGATACAGAAGAGTATACATACGGGTCCCATTATCCACACATGTGTTATACAAAAAAATCCCATATCCAAACATGAGGAATTAGTACCCAAACAAGGCTATACACAGGACAACAGCTGGCCCTGCATGTAGTACTGTAAACAAATAAGCAGCCTTAAGCAAGCCTTACTTTTTGTGTTTTGGTCTGCAGCAACCTTTTCGCCAGAAATGATTGGGGGTGGGGGAGGAAGGGAGAGAGATCGAACAAATAACAGAGTGGTTTCCCCCTCCCCTTCCTTGTTCACCTTCTGCAAGGTTTCAGAAGGTTTTCTTGGGTTTTTTTTTTGGGGGGGGGGGTCAAACGTCGGTGGTCAGGAAGATATTAGAAATTTTCCAATAGGAATCAATGGAAATCATTGATGTTATGCTAATACTTGCCTAACAAAAGGTTTCCTGAGAACATACTGTGTTTGGATAGCAGGACCTGCATGTACTATGCTTCGCCTCACTAGGTAGTCACAGCAAGCAAGAAGCAAGATTCTTTTATCTAAATTCTTTGACCCACAAGCCCCAAGGTTGCCCTGTTGTTCACACAGCATACAGACAAGTCAGAACTGTTAGGCCTAACATGAATAGAAGTCAAAATTTGCAGCATCGCTACCATGGCACTTTATGGTACAGTTATAAACACAGGAAGTTGGGGTTCCAAATGGTACCACAGTGCCCTGAACACCCATGTATTGGGGAAGATAAAAACTAGAAACATTACCTATATTGAGGCAAATGGGCATTTCCACAACTTGAGTGGACACTGATTTTCTGCACTTACTTTGAAGTATTTAATGCTACCTTCCCCCTCAAGATCTGGGCAGGAAACAGCAATTTCAAAACATATAAGAAAACTCCACATTTATACACAACAAAAAATCAGGTACAATTAAAAAGAGAAACTGAAAACATTCCTCCTGCCCACTACTATACATTGCAGAAAAATACTGGCTCATGGGCAATAACTACAAGTGTCATTTACAGAACTCAAGAAGTGCTTGAACAAATTGAATCTTCATACCAAGTGACTGCATCTTCTGCTTTCAAGCATATTTCATAGAACAAAAAACCAGTCTCATAGAGTTGGAAGGGCCTATGGATTGGCCAGTCCAACCTCCTCCCAAAGAGGGAATACTCTATTCATCAGCACCTACCTACCTACACAGATCCAAAGGTCAACAGCCACAGTGAATATTGCTGCATACTACAGAGAGAACAAATGAAGCGAAAAAATGTGCTTGAATAACCAATTTATCCATACTGCACTGGCTGTAAAAGGATGGTCGCTGATCAACTCCAGATGCTCTTGGATGAAATTGATCTAACTCAGCTTCTCTGAACCTCGAGTCCCCAGATGTAGTTGGACTACAACTCCCATCATTCCTAACTAGCAGGACCAGTGTTCAGGGATGACATCCTGGGCACACCCCACCAAGGACAAATGGCCAGTAGTTGTTTTTGTTGTTGTTGACAAAAGCACATCCTTACAGCAGCTCCTAAACTGAACAGAATATACAAACACTCATGTTCCTAGTGGCTACGTAGCTAGCATGACTTTCCCAGGCTTGTGCCCTGGCTGAACAGTTGAAGCAACAGTGGGACCAGCTCCCACCCCCGCGGGCTTAAGTAGCCTCGTTTGACGAAGTGTGTGCAAACACTCCTACATGGGAGTTGTTCCTGTGCTAGCCTCATCAAATCCCTCCTGGTTCTTGGAGACAGCGGGGCAAGGGATGGTGGGGATCTGACTGCCCCGTCTCTCGCCTGAACTGCATCTTCCTTCACTTCCAACACATCCTGCACCTCCTCTCCAGCCTCTGGCTAGTGGATGCTTCCCCTTCCACCAACCCTGGCTCCTGCCTCATAGGTGGCACAAAATCCTATAAATTGCTGGCTCCCTCTCCTGCATTGGCCTCTGACCCCTCTGCCTCCACCATGTACTCGTCAGAGCCCTGCCAGTCCCTGACAGATGATATAAGTTGTAGCACAACATCATCTGAGGACCCAGTGTTAAGAAAGGCTGGTCTAGACCCATTCCAGGCTGAGTTCAGGCCTTGTTATGGAACCAAATCAGACTTGGTCATTCTGATGGATGAACTTTATTCTGAAAAGGAGAATGTGACCCAGCTCCTTGTCCTCTTGACAGCTTCTGACACCTTTAACCATGGTATCCTCCATCTTGGAGTGGGATGGTGGTTGGGGGCACTGTATTACAGTGGTTCTACTCCACACTCAGGGCTGTTTCCAGATAATAGCATTGGGTGTATCTACCTCAGTATTATGGCAGATGCTATGGAGTTCCATTCTGAGAAGTTCCATTTTGTCCTCAGTGCTATTCTCCTCCTATTAAGCAGCTAGGGGAGTCATTAGGAGATTTGGGGTAAACTGTCTTTAGCATACTGATGACACACTATTCTATTTCTCTGTTTCATCCAAGTCAGGAAAGAAAAAGGAAAGGCCAGCAAGATAAGGAAAAATATGAGACACACGCTTATCAAAGCAGGACAGGGAAAAGAGAGAGACAGTAATTGAAAAAGAGATGCTGCCATTCCTTTTTGCTAACCTGACTAATCCCTTGTAGATATGTGACGTGGTCTTTGAAATAGGTATGATGTTAAACATCAATAGCATATAGCATTTGTGATTTACAGAACAAGACCAGGATCCTTGCCAGTGTTACGTACATTAATATGGTTGCGAGTCAATATCCTCCTTAATGGCAAGAGTGAGCAACTTAACCTGATAGGTTTGGCAGCCTTATGAAGATGTCATAGAGGAGTTTATGTAGCTGGCCTGTCACTTCTTTTAAGAGCTATACTTAGAATCCCATCACTTCCAAAACTGACTGTTGTCACAAATGGTGACATACGTCCTCTCAGCTCTATGAACAAAACCCGAATGGATCTTTCTTGTCAGACGTATGGACAAGCTGCCACCCACCATAGAAGCTCTAGTTCAATATGCTCAATGGAATGACTCCCAGGCTGTAGTCTGGGTCATGAACAAGTTACTGCTGAGTTCATCTTCAGGGTACTTTATCTGGACCAAATGGGCTAGCAAAATGTTAGCAGGGATGTGGTACTATCCGGGCCTCAAGTACAGTGGTACCTCGCAAGACGAATGCCTCGCAAGACGGAAAACTCGCAAAACGAAAGGGTTTTTGGTTTTTGAGTTGCTTCGCAAGATGATTTTCCCTATGGGCTTGCTTCGCAAGACGGAAACGTCTTGCAAGTTTGTTTCCTTTTTCTTAAAACCGTTAATACAGTTGCGACTTGACTTCGAGGAGCAACTCATAGCACGTGGTGTGGTAGCCTTTTTTGAGGTTTTTGAAGACTTTTGTGATTTTTGAAGCTTTTCCAAAACTTTTCCGACACCGTGCTTCGCAAGACGAAAAAAACCGCAAGACGAAAAAACTCGCGGAACGAATTAATTTCGTCTTGCGAGGCACCACTGTATGAACTATCTGACCAGGGTGGTTGCTTGGTGCAATGAGCCTCTGGTTCTTGGAGGATAGGGGGAGCCAATTGTCCTACAGAAGCTGAATGAAGCAGAAAGGTATGCATACAAGCCCCACCACGGTATGTAAATAAGACCCCCCCCCCCCGTTCAACAGTATTGCCTATTCTGATTGCAAGGGTTTCAAGCAGCACCCTTACCATGACAGCTATAAAAGGCAAGAAAGCTTTGTTCAGAAAACACAAGTCTCACCAAATGAGGTGAAGCAAAATGCCTGGCAAGACAAAGCAAGGTAGTAATAAGTGCAGGGTGTGTATGTGTGTAAACAATTTTAAGAGCTTTGCTAAAAATATTAAATTAACAACAACAAAATACAACAAAAACAGGAAATAAGCAAGGGAGGTGGTTACTGTCAGAGGACAAAGGACTGAAAGAAATGCTACAAGTGGATAGAACACTGCAGTTAATCTGAACAAGTTCTCTGCATCTGTCTCCAGTGAGGAAAGATGGAAGACAGATACCCACACTTGAAATAGATTTTTTCCAGTGAGAGCAACTGAGAACTGAAACAAATAGAGTTGACAAGAGCTTAAGTTATGGTGCTTACTGACAAATTAAAAATTGATGTCGCTGTGTCCGAGTGGCATCCATTGAAGAGTTCGTAAAACTACTCTACAGTGTCAAAATGCTGATCTTCTAACAAAAATATGTAACTTGGATTGGAAAGAAAGCAACATATTAGTGATTGTTAACAAATAGTTTTCTTTGGAGGGGTGTGGAAGATCAGGAAATTACAGGTTAGTTACCTTAACATCTGTTCCAGATAAATTGGTAGGTACAAAGTGTTATGAATGACAGGAGTTCTGTCCTACCAACCTTTTTGGATTTGAGAGTGTGGATAGAGAACTGAGTAGGTATAACAGGCATTGGCTTCCATTTATTTATTTAGATGAAGTTCTTCATCAGTGGCTCTGAGCAAATTTAGCAGACCTGGGATAAGAGGACAAGTTCTCCTGTGAGTTACTATCTGGCTGAACAATTAAAAAAACCCTAGAATATTCCCTCAAGGTTCAGTAATGGGCCTGATGTTTTTTCATCTTTTCTTAAAAGATACAGGTGACATGGAAGTATCCAAGTTTGCAGAAAAAGCCAAATGATTTGGGATAGTGAAAAGCCAAGTAGGTTACCAAGCACTGTGATTTATCCAGGCTAGGTGAATGGGTAAACAGTAAATAAAGTGAGGTTCAACTAAATGAAGGGTAAAATGATGGGGCCTGGGATAATATAATGTCAACTTCAAAGACAGTTTGATGGAATCTGAAATTGTGGTGAAAAGAGATTTTGGGGTTCATAGTGGAAAGCTGAATGAAAATGTAACTCAGTGTACTGCACCTATGAAATATTGCAAATTTAATGCAAGGGATCATTAGAAAAAGGAATTGCAAATAAAACTGCCAGTTCCATAATGCCTATCTCTATGGTTGCAAGCACATTTGAAATACTGTGCAGTTCTGGCTGCCCTATATCAAAGACAACTAGAAAAGGTGCAGAAAAGGGCAACCCAAATAATTATGGCTGGAACATCTTCCCTACAAGGGAAGGCTAAGGTGTTTTAGTCTGTTCAGCTTCTAGTTTAGAAAAAAGTGGTGATATCATAAATCTTAGGCATGGTTTGGAAAAAACTAGATAGATTCTGATATTATATATGAAGAAGGAAAACCTCCCTAAGGATCATTCAATGCAGTTTTTTTTTTAATAGCAGGGATTTAAAATGCACACTGCACCCAAATACAAAGCAGACCATTTTCTGGCTAACAACTGTAAATATCTTAACAGTAATTTCAAATACATTTTCACATTCGTTTGTGTAAAAGAACTACAGTGAAATTACTACGGTGAGGTCGTTGTCGGCAACAGCACCACAAAGATCTAGTAGCAAAGAGAGACTTGCTCATTCAATGCAGTTGATCAGTTTTAGACAAAATAAAGTACTTCTTCATACAACATATAATTTGCTGCCCTGAAATATGGTGATGATCATTGGCTTTAATTACTTTAAACAGAGATTGGATACGTTCTTGGAGGATAAAGATAGCCAGCAGTTATTAGCCATGATGGCTCTATGGAACCACCAGATTCAGATGTAGAATGATATAGGATACCAACTGCTGGAGAACTTTGCCTTCAAGCCCTGACTGTGGGCATCCTGGCACATCATGTTGGCCACTGTAGGAAGCAAGATTACTGGACTATATTAATGTCTGGTCTGGTCTAGTAGGCGGTTTTTATAACCAAGTGTCTTTGTTTCAACAATAAACATGAGAAAGCCAGCTTGAAATGCACATCACTATTCAAGTCCAAATGTAAGGAATCTGTGTTGTAAATATAAAGGATGTGATGGATAGAAATTTGTGTGCACGCACAGATGCATAAAAGATCCATGGCTAGGTTCAGCTAAGTTGTTGTGCTAGCAGAAGCCAGCACAATGAGTCCCGCGAGTGCAATGGGACTGCCCACCTCTCCTCCCAAATCTGAGTGCCAGGAGAATTCCCCAAATCAGTGGGGGCGGGGGAGAGAGAGCTTGCACTGATGGGAGCAGCTGTCGTAGTACAATGCTGAATTACACTCACATTTTTCTATAACTGACTCAGGCATATTTGTCCCAAACAGAACATACCAATTAATATGCAAACTGAGTATCATACTTTGATGTTAGCCAAATTCAGAATGGCTCCTAACCAAAATATGAACTTAAGTACTTAAAATCTTATCCCAACATACAAAGAAAAACGTCCGATTCACCAAAGTTAGTCTTTTTGTCCATCTTTTAAGGCTAATGTGAAACAGAGACAAGTAAGCCACCAAGTGAATTAATGTCATGGTGGTTGCCAAGGCAATAAGCTAAATGTAGCAGGAAAAGCAGAAATGGTCAGCAGAGGTTTTTAAGCAGAGGTTGGATGGCCACCTGTCATGTATAATTTAGTTGAGATTCCTAGATGACTCTTGGGGTCCCTTCCACCTCTACAATTCTACGATTCATAAAAATTTCTAGGATTTCAACTATAATCCTCTTCAGAGTTCTATATACAGAAAGCTGCACACACTTCAGAAGATTGACCTCAAACTTGTGTAGGGCAATCATGATGCCAATGTGGGAGAAGCTCGTGTGTTAAATTAACCCTAATACAGTGGTGCCTCGCAAGACGAAAAGAATCCGTTCTGGGAGTCTCTTCGTCTAGCGGTTTTTTCGTCTTGCGAAGCAAGCCCATTGACGGGATTAGCGGATTAGCGCTATTAGCGGCTTTTAGCGGCTTTTAGCAGCTTATCAGCTTATCAGATAAGCAGATAAGCGGCTTAGCGACTTAGAAAAAGAGGGGGGAAAGGGAAAAAAAAACCCAGGAACTCGCAAGACATTTTCGTCTTGCGAAGCAAGCCCATAGCAGATTCGTTTTGCGAGGCACCTCCAAAACGGAAAACTCTTTCGTCTAGCGAGTTTTCCGTCTTGCGAGGCATTCGTCTTGCGGGGCACCACTGTATGGCATTCTTGAAAATGGCTTACATGCTAAGTATGGCAATTATAGTGTAAGTGAGAATACTGATATAGTCAGAATCCTATCTGAAGAGGGCTATAGTTGAAATCCTGGAAATGATATTAAAAGGTGAAAAAAAATCTATTCCTTCCCTTCATCTCAGTTTTTTTTTGTGGGATGATTCAAAACACTGTGCCCAAGCAAAGATTGGATTGAGAATTACGGCTGAAGTGTGTCTGGGCTAGAAAACAGATTTTGAAGAGTAACAGTGTGTTGGGTCCTGAGGTTTGTTACATATTTTCATTAGAGAATGGGTACATATCCTTTAAAATCTGAACATTGATCAACCTCAAAGCCAAATACTTGCATCAATGCAAATGCAATGTCTTTGTTTTAATTTTCAAGAAGCAATATATCACTGTAGGAAAACAATGATTTGCTGATCACTGGGCTTTTCTCCATGTTTTAGTATTTTAAATGTTAAGGTTGAAACTTAAAATTATCAATTGCTCTAAGCTTTAAGCTAAATAACATAAATTCATCCTCGCTTATTATTTCTATAGCACTTACCGTAGTTTACTAATATACTAAGTATACTTAAGTGTTTTGCAATACATAACTCACAATAGTCCTTCCCTACAAGCTTAAAATCCAATAAAGTAACATCAAAAGGCTTCATTTCAGAATTGTAAATGTTAGGGAACTGCCATCAGTGCCGGAGGGAGAGAGCAAAAGCCAGAGGGATTCCAGAGAGCGTCCAGAGATCGGGAGGGAGAGAGCAAAAGCCAGAGGGATTCCAGAGAGCGTCCAGAGATCGGGAGAAGCAGCCCATCTTCTGGGGAAGAGAATCAGCGTAGCACCAGTGGAGAAGGGGGGCAGATGGGGCA